CATTAAAATACGCTGAATACATAGCATTTCGATTCGTAAGCAGTTTCTACGTTCTTCGCAGTGCTGAAACGGAACGCAATACAAAACTTAAAGTAATTATAAGCGAATCATATCTAATCAAGTTTATTGTCATTTTTACTGTATTGCGTAGTTTAATTCTCGAATTAGGGCGTCGAGGCTGTTTCGAGGTGCAAAGTTTCATCTGGCCGCGGGAAAGGGGACTCTAATACCCTGTGATAAGAGAGTTGAGTAGAATTTACCGTTTTGTGACGTCAATAGTTATTTGTGAGCGAGTTATCTCAGGGCGGAGGTGAAGGATCGACGCAACACTCACGTGGCGTTGATCACTTCTGGGAAAATGATACGACTGATTGATTGCTCTTTGTTACATCGTCGCTACCTATGTACCTATCTACCTGCGCAGCTCCAGCTCGCCTTTTACTTATATGCTATTTGTAATTAAATATTGTTATTGAATCTTTTTGCTTAAAGAATTAATGAATTCTAATTCAGAGATCAAAACGAAAACGAAACAATAATGCTTCTACATTTTTACTACTATCCCGTGCCAATAAAAATACAATATTATGAATTATAAATAAAAAATATATTAACAAATATCACCTCTACTGGTCACAGAAGAGCTAACTCTTGTTTTGCCCAAAGAATCGGCATTGTCATTCAGCAGAGAAATGTGGCTAGCATTCTTTCCACTATACTACTCGTATGTGGACATGACTTGTACAGTAATAATTTAGTATAAATTTGTTTTATACATATGTATAATTAAGTATATTTGTAATTGTAAATAATCTTTATTTACAAATACATATATTAATAATACATAAACTCTTTTGTACAACGAGGCAGGCAACCCTCGTCCGCAGCACAGTTGGCGCGGCGCCTACACGCCACACCTCGTTTACTTTCCATTACGAGCCACACCGGTGCCAGAGCGCCGAGCCTTGAGCCAAAGGTGAGCTTTTGAAACTATCTCTAATGAAATATATGTGTCAATCTCTACCCTATATATTGTTAAGGAGATCATGATAGCCACTTAAGATTGAAACAAAAAAAAATATTATACAAACGTTTAATTTTAAAATAGTCATCTAATGCTAGATAGAAAATATATTAACTCGTTATTATATTACTAGGTGTTTGAGCGAAATCCTTTTTTTTTCTAGAATAAAAGTAGCCTAAGTTATTCTTTATAACATCAGCTATATGCCAGTAATAATTAATCCAGCCGTTTCAGAGATTAGCCGGAAGAAACAGACAGACAGAAATTAACGTACGTAATACGCACGTAAGAAGTTATACTTCTTTGCCGTAACAGAACAAAAACAGCTAAAGATTTCATCCCGTATATCACAACTCTCCGTTTGTAAAAAGAATGATAAATAAATAAAAATAAATATATATTTTTATCTCCGCCGATAAACACGTGTTAAACATATAGATTTATAAATATTTGAAAAACAACTTTGATTATAGTTATGAGTTTTCACGGGAACCGGAGAGATAGTTATTAGCTAACTCCATCATGTCACTTTTTGGCTGTCGGTGTGCGTGCACATCGTAAAATTTTACTCTCATATTTTTTTCTAAAGGTGCCAAATAAGTATAACTTCAAAAATTGTTATTTTCTCAAAAGTACCGTATTAATATCGTACCGTATATATAATTTCATATGCATTACAAACAGACACTTCCATTTTATTTATCTGTATAGATTTTAAAAGTCAAACATTCAACAAAAATCATTGTAATACTAACCTAAAAATGCTCTTATTATACTCGTAAGTACATATCCTAGTTTACTTGACATTGCTGTGCGGTACGTGCCCACTGCCCACTATATCTGACGGCGGCCGGCCGGAGGCGACACAAGGGAAAACTTTTAAGCAAGAGGCTCCTCGCCAAATTCCTCACATTAATCCCACAAGCACCGGATACAAAAAAACAAACAAACGGAAGCAATATCTCACGCCACATAAAACTGCGATACGAATGCATTGTCGCGGTGCAGTCTCGCGCCTGTTCATCAGTGCTTCATAACACTAAGTACTCAAATATCTTTTCTTTTAGGATATTTTCTTTGGTTTTCTTTACGCTTATAAGAAAATGATCTTTTTACTAAAAAGATGTAACAGTAGAGAAAATGTCATCTATCCTTTCAGGTTCTACGAAATGTTTAATAATTATTTAAGTATGAAATCGTAGCACGCATTTCTATAGGTAAATTATTATTTATATTATGATAATGTAATAGTATTTTAATGAGGATTTTCAATTATGACAAAGTAACCCAAAACAAATACGACTAAATAAAGGGAAAATAACAACAGTTTTCAAGCGAATTTATTGATAAAATCCTAAAAACACCTTTTTTTCCTAACAATTATATTAACCAGACATAACAAAATATTTATTTATAAAAACATGTCTGTCCGGAACAATGTCACTAAAATGTAAAAACCCAGTGATCAAAATAACAACAAAAAAGATATTTTTGTTGCGTGATTCACGAATACGTATAAATCTAGACACTATTGATCCTTACTTTTTTAACTAATCTATATTTATCTATACATACCTATAATAAAATTGTAACCAAGCCGAATCTGTACATTAAATATTTTTTGGGAAATCTTATTCCAATAGACATTATTATCGATACAGAAGCTGAATCTATAGTTTTTAGAATTTTTGTCTGTCTGTCTGTCCGTCTGTCTGTTACCGCATCACGGAAAAACCACTTGAGGAATTTTGATGAAATTTGGTATGATGGTAGCTGGTTATCCGGGTCAACATATAGGATACTTTTTACTGCGGGAAAATATCTCATTTCTGAGAAAAAAGACAAAAACTGCAATGTAAGATTAAACTAATATGTAAATTTTAAGAATTCGGTTTTTGGTCATCTGAACGCGGGTGAAGCCGCGGGCAATGCTAGTATGTATTATAAGTGTGAGTGTGCTTGTTGTTGTACATAAATACGGTTAAAACCGACTTCAAATATATGCAATAATATTTTGCACTTGCATAAAGATTCTATGCTAAAAATATCATATGCTACTGTTTGTACATCATTTATTTTATATCCTAATTAGATAGATATTACAATTTACATTTACTTACTATTTAATAACACAGTAACACCGACTTCAAAATCGCCCTTACTGTGGTGAAATATATTGGTTTATATGGGACCTTGCAATTAACTAACTCATTAAAAGCTGAATTCTGCCAATTAATTCTCAGTTGGTGTAGAATATAGATATGGCAAACTAAATTAAAATTATTATCCTTAATTAATTTAACTTTTTTAAATTACACATATAACAATTACCTATATGGCTTAAATAATTAATATTGTATTTTATATTTTTTCTTTATGGTTATAAATATAATAATGGCAACACTAAATATAGATTACTAATTAATATTTTAAAAAATGTAATATTTATAATAGTAACAGTAAAAAATAAATAAATAATATTCCATATTCAATTATAAAACTAATTAAAATCATAAAAATGTTTAAAGTTAAAAAATATTGTAAGGTAATTGGTGCAATATTTCATTTTTGTTATTTGTGGGTAGGCTGTCTGTAACAACTATATACCTTAGAGACATCTAACACCTGCTGTAAAGCATTCAAAATGTCGGGAACCAAAAAATCCAAATAAAGCCGCGAAAAAATCTGAAAATATAGTTTTATTTAAAATGTTAATCAGTTATCATGAAAGGACGATTGAATGGATTTCAGTGACTTTTTTAAGCATAAGTAATAGTATGAAATAAAAAAAAGCTAATGTGACATTACTAATTTAGAAAAAACTCGACGTACTCAGTTTTAGAGGTAAGGAATTTCAATTATGACCCAAAAAGTCATGTGAGAGCATAATAATTACTTTTTAAGTGTATTCGAATTCATTGAAAGTCTTAGTAGAAAAGTGATTTTAATAATTCATTAATATAATAATAATTCTTCTCAGACCAGGGCGCGTTACGAACCCTCGTAGCTTTAGTTTAAGTCTTCTAATTGACGTACACAAGTGATCATTGAATTGATACAATGTGTAAAAAGAAGTAAATAAATAAATAAATAAACATTCAAATCTAAAGCTACAAATTGAGCTGTCTGTTAACGCTACTATACAAAGCGTAACGCGCAGGAGCCACTAGCAGTGATAACAAAGTTTTAGGTATATATATATATATATATATATATATATATATATATATATATATATATTTATATATACATACGTACTATAAAAGAATATACAGATTACCTATACATATTATTAACGTTTTCCTGTTGACATAAAACTATAAAACGTCTAAAACCTACATAATAATCTCAGTTCAGGTGCAGACGCACCGTTATCGGCTGATACCTTCATTACGCGCCATGTTTCATACTTGTATTATTTATTTTTCCCTGACTTTATTAATGTTTAATATTATTATTAAATTATGTTTATAAAATGTTGGATCACTCTGCATCTTTTACCGCATCTATCGCGGGGAGTGTTCCGAGGAATTGTTCGGACTGATCCCGGCTGCTCAATTTCATCATCGGACATCGCGCCAAAATATTAAATTCCATCCACACCACCTCGATGTCCAGCGTTCTACAACAGTGCGATTTTAAGGCATTTTCTGCCCCGCACAACCACTCTGTGGAACCAGCTATCGCCGGCGGTCTTTACGAACCGCTACGACTTGGCCACCTTCAAGAAGAGAACTTATTCTTTCCTTAAAGGCCGGCAACGCATCTGCAAGCCCTGCGGTGTTGCAGATGTCCATGGGCGGAGGTGATCACTTTCCATCAGGTGAGCCTCCTGCCCGTTTGCCCACTTAGTCCCATAAAAAAAAACTTTGTCAATAAAAAATATTGTTGAGAAATTTTGGTGAAAATTGTTGTGGATACTTTATAACTAAAAAAATCTATGAAACACATATTATTACGTGATACATATAAATTAATGAATGTCTTATACAAGAAGGTACAGCCAAGATCAAGCAGAGGTAAAAAAATACCTAATAACAGCTTATTTGTTTAGGTAAATCTTATTTTTTCCTTGCCATTGAACACATAATCTAAACAATGCACATTGTTTTCATTTCAGAGGCAGAAAACAAATATGTATACACATTATAAAAATAAAAATAATACGTACATAAATATTACACTTTATAGCGGCCGCAAACCACATCCCGTCGTTACCTACCTGAGGTAAACGCGGCAAAAATAACTCGTTAGTAAGAATTCTATGCAAATAAAATAAACCTCGTTCTCTTTAGACAACATGGCGTATTCTATAAGCTACCTTCCTAACCTTCACTAGCCCAATCTTGTATAAAAAATATGATACCCAGAAACTTACATACATACATGGGACAATTTGAAACAACTTTTACCAGGCACTTTGGAGTGTTCAACTATACATACTAGCGGATCACCCTCGCTTCGCTCGGCTTTGCCTCTAGAAAAGCAAAATCAAACCTATCCCACGGGAACCATACATTTTTCCGGGATTAAAAGTATGTGCTATTCCAGACTACCTATATATAATCGATCTCTATGCCAAATATCATCTAGATCTATTCAGCCGTTCTGGCGTGAGTAAGTAACAAACATCCAACTTTCTAAACTTTTACAATTATAATATTAGCACCTGCAGGTAAATTTCTATGAAATTAATTAAATTTCTAAGAAATCTATTGTTAACTGTAACGCCGGCGTGTCCACGGTCGTGGAGGGATTATTAAGATATACTGACGGTTCCAAACCATATAACTTTAAACGCATTAAGATGAACTCGGGTAATAGAAATATATATCTATGTAAACATCAAGGGCACATCCCAGTACTGGCTTGTACAAAGTCGTAGCACCCAAAAGCTTCACAAGTTTCCTGTGTGTGTCCTAGCATAAACTTGGATTTTAAATATATCTTTATATATTTTAGAAAAACTCGGGTAACGAAGATGTAACGTACCAACTAAAACTATTTTCTTTATGCAACAAGGAAATCTCATATTGTGTCTGGAACCCCCTATTTGAATATTCGACGCGTCATCGCCATAAAGTACAGTAATTAATCAACAAATAATAACAATGTGGGGTGGTTTTACGACAAAGACGAACTTCTGGGCATAGTTTCATTACAATTAGTAGAAAAAATTAAAACATTTTTCATTAATAAAGCTAAGCCTACACGCAGAAGGCGAAAACGATCGAAACTATGGTCGCTGCGACAAACTATTTGTATTATGGTCGAGGTCGTAACGATCACATCAGGTTAAAATAGCTTTCAGATTCGTTTTTTACTTAAAATGTAGATAGTAACAAATAACGACAAAGGTTTTTTTCTAATTATTTTAATTAATATTTTACTGAACTTGCTTTAGTTTAAACTCTTGTACAGATGACCGAATGTTTCCGATGATGTTATGCTACTACTTGTTCTACTTAGAATATTTAGAACTATGAAATAGTCCTTATATTAAACTAGAGACATACCCTCGCTTTGTTCGGGTGCGTACCTACCTGGGTGTCTTATTCAAATCGATACAAAAACGTCGATTTTCTTTACATAAAATATTATACATATATGTATTGTATATACATATTATATATTCATTTATATTCATTTTTTGGCAAACTCTCAACCCCACCTTTTGGTATATTTAAAAAAGTGTGTGTTACTTTTGGCCATAGTCTATTTGTGTACTTACTATTCAAATCAGTCCAGTCGTTACAACATGTATGAGTTATAAAATTACATAAACATACCGACAAATTTTTGCTTTTATAAAATTATTTAAGGAGGGTTGCTGTACTGATTTTTATTGCTCGTTTAATAAAAGGAAAAAAAATATAAATTTATTTATTTTTGTATGAATATATGTATTATATTAGTATGGGCGTACGTACATATATATGTATATTATGTGTACAATTATATGTATTGGCAACCGAGTCGTAAATAGCCCAGTTAATTATAACACGTAATTATTGTAATTGCACCTCACCGCCACTGGCAAGAGTTCAAGCGCCTCTCGTGTTACTACAACTGTTACTTATATTAGGTACCTAATAAATAAATAGCTTCGTAATATGTATCTTGTAAGCCGTCGCACCGCGCGGTACTCATTATGTCATACCTCCCTACATCACTACTATGATCTCGACTTTATATTGATTTTTCATTGATAATTCAAATGCGATCTAGGTGTATCAATCAAATTCGAGCTTCTTGTAGTTAGAAACCTCTATTTTAAACAAAAACCAAACACCTGTAGCACGTTTAAATAAGTGCCAACCAACAAGATAAACCTGTTTAATGAATTTATAAATTTTACTCCAAAAATCTGTTCTAAATTAAAACAATAGGAATTTAAGGAAGTTCACTGCAATTAAAGCTGTACAACAGTCACAATTCTACGTTAAACAATCATAAATTACCTAAGACCTTCAAAGCAGTTTAGAGACAAAAGCTTAACACCTATACATTTCTTCCTGTCACATTTCGCAGTCCCGTCCAGACCATATGGCAACCATCCGACCACCGACCTGCTAACAAACGCTAATTGTTCATTGTTTCCACAACTACCTTTTAAAACAGTATCGTTCAATACCATAAAGATCAAAATCGTACGAAATGTCCTCAGGCCGGTGCCAGATGGTCTGCACTTCCTGAGGATGCTCGTCAATGGTGACTTTTGCCTAAGTAATCTCTTGTTTGTGATAATAAAGTACAATGGGTCTTACGATTGTCATCGATGCGTGTGAAACCGATACACGTGGTACAGATTACTCTCCGCGTCCCGCACGCTGCGGTGCAAATGAACCAACAAAAGCTTATTAGAGGAGCTTTATCATGTACTGGCTGTTACTTGCGGCAACGTGATGATGAAAATATTATACTCAAAATTACAAAAAATCCATAAAAAAAATATTTTTAAGCTTTCATCCATATAATTAGTAATTGGACCCAGTTATGCAAAAAAACAGCCATGTGCGTAAAAGTACCAACAGAGTTATAAGCATTTTTCTGTCGATAGTTTCACTTGGGTTATGTTTTGTTTTTCTGGTTATTTAAAAATTGAACAATATTTATATAAATATTGTTTATTTTTTATAATTATTTTATTTTTTATAATAAAATGCTTATAACTCTGTTGGTACTTTTACGCACATGGCTGTTTTTTGCATAACTGGGTCCAATTTGGATGTCCTTCTAAACTACATAACATTACTGTACAAATATAACATTATCTTATTTATTATTATTGAGAAAAGAATGTTAGCCTTACAAAAATGCTATAGTAAAAACTTCTATACATATTATATGAGTACTAAGTACCTATAATTCGTAAGAAATAATGAAATACATGTAAAAGTTAAATAAGAAAGCGTTTCTTGATAAAAATAAGCGTTTTCATTTCTTGGCATTTTCATGAAACAATCTGAGCCCGCAACGCTTGTGCACACATTTTTTGTCAAAGGGTTGCAGGTCGGTGGGAGATAACCCCGCACCGCCGGTGTAAGCTGATTACACTATTTTTACTCTTGTTTATCGCCACTCGACTAATACTGATAATTTTAAATGGATATACGTTTCCTCTGCGATAAGCTTGACTGACATTCATTTTTTTCTTCACGTACAGATCTTTTATTTAAAAAATATTGTCATTTTTGTTTCACAAAATATTGTGTAGATAAGGTGATAATTTATGGTGGATGTGAACTTTTGTTGGGTCTGGATTGTGATTAGGAGATATATTGGGTGAGGAAACGTTTAAAATAGTTAATTTGTCAACATTAGTAAGTATAATCTTTATATATATATAATTCTTCTGTGAGTGTGTATGTCACTGAACTTCTCTCAAACGACTGGACCGATTTTGATGAAATTTTTTGTGTGTGTCAAGGGGATCTGGGAATGGTTTAGATTCACAATTTAAATAATAATTTTCATCAAAAAAATTATTAAAAAAAGTTTGAAATTTTCAAATTAAAGACGTGTAGACAGGACAACGTCTGTCGGGTCCGCTAGTACTTAATTATTATTTTACTTATTGTTTTTTATACGCCACCGCTTTGGACTTAAAGCAATTCAACTGCACATAGCCATACTAATTATACCTATACTAGGGACGTACTCGAGCGTTGCGAGGGTACGTTCCTGCTAGGCGCTTAACAGAATGTTACTTCAGGATATACCTACCTCTGCACTCAAATCTACCTATCTACCTGTATATTAAATTTTATCCAAATCCGTTTAAACATGAAGGAGTAACAACCTTACACACATACAAAATACCGATCTTATAATACCTATATTTCTGATTTCGATTTTATACTTCGATTTTAAAGTACCTACCTACCAAGTGCGATTTTCATTATGCAATAAATAAGCTAATAAAATATAATAATAAATTACAACTTCTTCTGTTATATAAACTAATTGATATAATTCTCAACAAAAATCCCGCAGGAAGAAAAACCGTTAAAATTGCATTAACAATATGTAATGCGGGCGATCGTTACCTCGCTATTGATCGCCGTGGTATCGGAATTAGATCGCTTCGGTACTACTTTTGATAATAAGATAATAATCAATAAAAAATATTTCATAGCATATGAATGAAATTGTATTGGAAAAAAATTTTTTTGTTATATTGTGGGAATGAACCACGCTAAAAATGAAAATAAGGTGTAATTGCTATACTAATTATAATGATTTGCAAATATAATATTACATATATTTGCAAAACATTAAATATTACCTATAAATATTATCAAACTGCAACCACACGTACCTACATATTGTATGTATGAACGTTAACATTCCCAGAATGCCAACCAAGCAAAAGTAACCACGTAACTACGTAACCATGGAGTTTATAAATAAACATAAAATATAAACTAACTTAATTGCAGTGAGGATAATGTTGTTTACCTGTTAGTGTTCAGTCGCCAGATGTTCCACCTTTATTGCACGCCACGAGAGCTTCGCTTTGAGAATTAGCTGTATCTTTAAACACAATACATCAATATCCTGTTAATACAACAATTAATATGGATTAAAATATTGTTACCTACTAACAAAATTAATTTATTATTCTTAAATGTAATACAAAATATAATTACATATATTTAAAAATATATACTATAAAACTAAGTTTTAAACAATTTTACATGGTTAGTAAGCAGTATAATGGTTAACGAGGACCGATGTTGCGCAGTGATACAATGTATCGGACACGGGCAGTGGGACACGATTCGTGTCTTTTTTATATTAATAATACTTGTATGTATATACTTATCCTTTTCTGTTTAAAAAAATGTCTGAAATTTTGAGCCATAATGTAAACGTAAACTGTAGTCAAAATAAAAAAAGCGGCATCGGCAAAGTCCTGTAGGGACTTTAAGTCTAATCAATTAAGAAGTAGTTAAGACAGTAAATAATGTAAAATTTATAAAAAAGGAAATAATATCGATTATATAGTACGAGGAATACAAGCCACACACAAATTGTAGCAGTTTCGAACAACTTATAAACGAATTTACTTTTTGGTGTGAGAGTCAAACGTGTTCGCGGGGGGCGAGCGGCGAGCGCACGTGGCGCGAGGTGGGCCCATTGTCCCACCCCGATACTGCACATGAGACGTTATAAAGAAACTAGCGGCATGTCACATATACTATGATTTATTGTTAATAATTATGAATGTTAATATTAACGTACCTATTTATTAAAAAATTTTTTAATTAAAATTGATCTAAGTATGTATCATTTGTATATTACATTTTTGTCAATCCTCTGCTACAAAAAGTACAATATACTGAAACCTGTCATAGTTATATGCAGTTTTTTGTTATAGTCTTTAAAAATTAACATGTTTTTATCAACACTACTATTATACAGAGGAAAGATTTGTATTTTTGTATGTTTGTAACGAATAAACTCAAATACGACTAGACCGATTTAGATGCAATTTGGTACGAAGATAGTTTGAAACCTTGGAAAGGACATAAAATTTTATTTAGGAAATAATCCCTTAAGGGGTTGAAAATGAGAATGAAAATTTGTAGGGGAATCAACCTAGATATAAATATGATTTAAACTGTTATCAACGAAATAGTGAATCTGATATTAAAAACTTTTATTCTGTATCACTTATACAATGAAACTACTGCAAAGATATTTTATTAAAGAATATAAATACATCATTTCGTACCGAGCCTAAAAAGAAGACACTACTAGGTACAACCCTAGAAGATTTTCAACTTAAGATTTTAATTAGCTGGAACAGATTATTACCGTAGCATAACGGTGAATGAGTCAGACGTACAATAATATATATGACAAGGTAAACATATTATGTAACTCACCTCAATATGACTAAATTGGAAAAGCCTTAGTTAAATATAAGAACATGTGTTCCAATACTTTGCGGTTTTAATACGAATATAATTTTAATTATTAGACTACTCCACTTCTTGTGGCGTAGACAACATATTGGCTCTTATGACTCATTCAGCTCACATCTCAGCAGAAGCAAAACTAGATTTAACAATTATATAATCAATAAAACAGAAAAGAAAGAAATTTTACATTTTTACAAAATATATCTTGAAATTTTACATTTTATATGTGATATATAGACTAACATCGGTAATATCTACTAAATAATATTTAACAGTAAGGTAACTGACTTCATTGTACAAGTACGCAAAAAAACTTACCAGATGTTATCCTATCGATTTCACGCCTTTTCTTATCTTATACAATAGCTTTAAAACACTATATAAACAAATTATATTGACAATGAGTAGGTGTGACTTTTAAACTGCCTAATTACTTAAGACGCTTAAAGCGCTGAGAAATATAATAAAGTTTTTATTTATCTATTATTTACAGCGTTTTACATCGATTTAATTTTGTTTGGAATACTACACGTGTAGCACACGTGCGAAGGTATCATTGTTTTACACCATAAAGGTCTCTTTACCTTATAACTATAACAATAAGGTTTAAATTAGAGTTAAATAATGTATTATGCCGGTAGCATAGTCTTACCCAGCATTGTTTTCTTACGATTACTAAATTACAAGAGTGTCATAATTAACCCATATATCTTGTTAGTATGAATAATATACGCTTTATAGATAAATATCTATAAAGAATGTAAACCGAAGCGACATACAACGGTTTGATTGAATGAAAACTATGAAACTTTTTATCGAAGATTAGTTTTTCAAATATAGATCTACTTTACGATTTTAGTACGTGTACCCTATTATAGTACCTAGGTAGGTATAAGATATACAACATACATATGCATATTAATTTTATTTTTTAAAAGCCTTTATAAATTGGAATCAAAGAACGGCAAAAAATACACCGTGTAGTTCGACACCGCCACTTGTAGCATTAAGTAGTCATAAATAAAAAAACTAATTTAAAAGTGTTCTTTATTTTATATCTGTAATATCGTAAAATACAAACTTATCTTGCAAAACTATAAAAGTATGATCATGACAAATTATATCGTGTTGAATAAAATAAATACAGCTTTTAGTTTCGCTATGCAAAAGCAACGGTACAGGACGCCTAGCTCCATCTAGCGACAAGAAGCGTCACTAAAATAACAAACAAACGTAGAGCTTATGCTAAAACTTTTCGTGGACAATTTAAATACTAATTTGCGTATTTATATAATTATATAATTCAAAATAAACAATTATTTACTATGTAATATTAAACTATTTATTCAACTGTTATGTTTATTTTAATTAAAGAATATTTAAAAAAAATAGTGGTACAAAATCTTTTATCAGTATTAAATGTTGAAAATTAATTAGACACTTAAATATTGTTAAACGTAAGATAGAGACAGGTAGAGCAAAGGTGTAGCGCGTAAGTAGGTAGGTAGTATGAGGCGAAGTCAAAAAGTGATAGCGAAGGTCCGCGTGTCAGTATGTCCGCGTGTCCGCGCGGTGCGTGGTAAGACTCGGTTAATTAAGTATAGGTGGTGGGGGTGGCGGGGCGGGCAGCGCGGGGGTGTGCGGGGCGGGCGGGGTGCGCGGGGCGCAGGGCGGGGCGAGAGGCGGGCCGGCTCATTCCGCCGCGCGCCGCGCCGCCAGCGACACGTCGCAGGCCATGGTCGCGAGAACCGATGAGATGTTCGGCTGCTATGGTGACAGCTACTCGTACCGCCTGTGGAGCCTCGCCAACGTATGGGGCGCCTGCCGATGTGAGTGACCTACCCGACTCTGCTCTGCGGCTAGTGCGTCGCGTAACACGTTAACTAGTTAGTGGTGTGAACGGTGCTCGATGAAAGTGCACAGCTCGCTTATGGGAGTTGGCGGTTGGTACGAATCCTTGGCGGCCGGTTGGCTTGCAGGCATGAGGAGTAAGCAGGTCCCCACGTCTACCACCTCGGCCAGGCGGCTCGCGGCCTTAAGTAAGCTTCTTTTCCTTTTATGTTTATTTGCGCTTTTTATATTTTTCTCACTTAGTTTATTTTCCTGACTCCATCTCTTCTATTTTATTTCATACCAAACTCAATTTTTATTTTATTCTATGATAAGGAAATTCTAGCCAATATTACCTTAAATTGTAGACATGTAAAAATTGACATTTTTGTAGAGTGCGGGGAGAGGTAAAACTTGAAAGTGAAAAGTTTCCCTCAAAAAGTAAAGTTAAACTGTGAAATTGAAACAGGTGAAAATGATATCACCTCGGCCGCATTAAAAATAAAACTCGAACACGTCTTCATTAGAAATAACCTTCGTGTTCGTAATCTCCCCTCGAGTCCCCTGAGATATAATTCATCCACTTGAGAATCGGGAACAGGTATACACAGAGTTAAAAGAAAGTTTCGTTTGTCGAGGGGAACCCCGCTCTCTTTCAACATCTTAAATCGTAAATGATTATGTTGTTTTAATTCATTTGCCTTTTCTCTTTACTTTTTATTTTATTCTTGTTTGATCGCCGCCTGTCTGGAGTGGATAATATAATAGGGCCGTTTGTTGCGTTCGGACCAGTGCGTGATGTTTCAGATGAGACGTAGGAAACGCATGAATGAATTAGTGAAAGTAGAGTTTTATCGCTCTTCCTGATCGCTGGTCGCAGACCCGCTGGCAGACCCGCGTGACGCTCGTTATTTCGATATTATTTGCTCAATGAACTCCAATTATAGCGCAGTACAGATAACATCGGGCGCTGCGTAGTTTATCGTTCATATGTTTTGTAAATGAGCGAGGTGTGCGGTTAATTAGCTATTTACATAACAAGATAATTTTTGGAACCGCTCTCTCTACGATAATCGTGCCGTACTCTTACAGCAAATAGATAATAAAAAAGTGTACTAACAATGTGGTGCAAACATATTTTCTGGAGAAAAATGAAAGGAAATTAATTTAAAATAACATCCAATTTATACTAATACGATACGCTATACTTTGTATGTATTTATTATTTTTTATAGATAAAGAAGACTTAAGGAAAGAAGTATAACACAAACAATGATTACCGTTTATTTACTTCAGTGTTCATTAAAAATAACGGCCTTTTTATTATACGGCTGAAATGTAATGAGTAATGACCGATATCGGTATTGGAGGCACTTACTCTACATTTCATTATATGACACTATCGTACCGTACAACTATACTTTCAAGACATGTAACACCTCAGTCTCTCCCGTGACCATGGATGCTGTAAAGCATTCGAAACGTCGGGAATCAAAAACCAAAATAAATCCGCGAAATAATCCGAAAAGATAGTTTTATTTAATAATGTCAAACATTCGCGTAAATCTAAGAAAGTATTATCGTAGTAATTTAATATAAGTGAATACAGAAAGGATAAATATTGTATGTTTAGGAATTGTAACGAACATTTCGTGGAAGCGATAGGCGTCTATCCTCCTCACTAATCACTTGTTTGTACACAACATTAAGAGCCTCGTTAATATCGGCAAACTTAGAATCTTTAATTGCTTGATAAACAGTGCTTAGGATATCTCTACCGGTGAAAACTTCTGATTTGGAGGTGTCAATAATGACTTTATATTCATTTCCTTGTAAACTTTAAATTTGTAATATTTTATTTTTGTAGGCCATTTTGTATTTCATAAATAAAAGTTTTCATTTTTTGTATTAATTTTTAAAAAGAAAATGTATATAAATAATAAAAATATGTATAGGTTATACTATTATTATAATTTCATTAAATTTTCTTGAAATATGAATACGTAAGCATAAAGGTAGGTTAGAGAAAAAAGCAATAATATCATATAGCTACAAGTATATTTTATATTTTTAAGTAAATTATTACATGTTTTTGATAGCCATGCCAATACTAATTTTAAAGATATTTATTTGTTTTACGTTTTCTTCAGACCATAAGAGATAACTCTCTTAAAAAGATATTTTTATGAGATATTATTTAAAAAAATACTATTTATCATAAATAGTATTATCTACACTACTATTATAAAAAGGAAAAGATTTGTATTTTTGTATGTTTGTAATGAATAAACTCAAAAACAACTGGACCGATTAAGATGAAATTTGGTAAGAAGATAGTTTGAGACAGTGAAAAGGACATAAGATATTTTTTATTCCGGAAATCATCCCCTAAGGGGGTTAAAATGGGGATAAAAATTTGGATGGGGATCAACCTATAGTCTTAAATAAGGTTTAGAGTAATTTGTTCACCTACATATGTCAGTAGATTATTTTTTTTTCATTTTTCATTCTCTCGAGCTTAATCTTCAGCTTGTCGCTCTGCGCTTCACTCTTCAGTAGCATTAAAATACGAATTGTTTGTTGAGCAAACGGGATCTCTATGACCACTATAAAAAGCCTCGACGTTAATCGAACACACTATTTTCGACGTAATAGGCAGTTCTGGTGAAACTGATGTTTCCCTACATTGCTTAAATATTCTATTCATATTTATTATATCTATTTATATTTATATGTATAAATTTTATTAAACCATTTTCATTGTCTAATAAATTAAGGAAAATAAGCCAAATAATTATATAGTAACTAGTAACTTTTTTGGGATTATAATCAATTAATTATTTTTATAAAATTAATTCATTTAATAAGATATTAAATTAATTATAACACCGATTTATTCAATCATAAAAGTGAACTTTATATAAATATGTACCTATTGTGATTGTTATATTTATAACATGCCATACTCTACATTTCTTATAAATATATGTTGAGTTTTTTAAATAAAATAATCTTTTCGGATTATTTCGCGGATTTATTTTGATTTTTGGTTCCCGACGTTTCGATTCAATCAATAGGGAAGATGGCTGGGTACTACCATCGTCATGGGATCCTGTTATTAATATAATAAAATCAAATAATAAATATAAACATAACAGACAGGCAGATGTAGTAAGTTCATACTGTGTAGATCAAAATGACAGCTTATCAGAGTAATATTTTTCATTTGTAAAAGTATATATTAATAGTGTTGCTTCGTAAGTTGTTTTTAAATAATAGCAAACTAAATTAAAATGATTATCCGTAATTAATTTTAACTTTTTAAATTACACATAGAACAATTATATGGCTTTAATAATTAATACTATATTTTTATATTTTTTATTTATGGTTATAAATATAATAATGGCAACACTAAATATAGATTACTAATTAATATTTTTAAAATTGTAATAATTATAAAATTAATAGCAAAAATTAAATAAATAATTTTCCATATTCAATTATAATTAAAATTATAAAAAATGTTTAAAGTTAAAAATATTGTAATGTAATTGGTGCAATTTTCATTTTGTTAATTGTGGGTAGGCTGTCTGTAACAACTATATCTTTAAGACATGTAACACCTCAGTCTCTCCCGTGACCATGGATGCTGTAAAGCATTCGAAACGTCGGGAACCAAAAATCAAAATAAATCCGCGAAATAATCCGAAAAGATAGTTTTATTTAAAAATGTCAAACATTCGCGTAAATCTAAGAAAGTATTATATGTTGAGTATTAACACTATGGATAACTTATAATAAATATAAATAAATAAATAATTATAAATAAATAAATAAATAATTATAAATTTAAATATAATTGCGCTCTAAGTAAACATTGAGTCAGCAATCTATTGAAAGAGCCCATTTAAACTTGAAGTATTATTAAAAATAGATCTTTTCTTATAAATATATGTGACTGAGTTAGAGTAGGTACCAAAATTGAATCATAGGAGCGGGTGCGACGCGGAGGCACCGAGAATTGTTGTTCAATGAATCATAATTAAAATCGTACCAAGAACAAAATAACATTAGAATGAACGGTCGCGCAATACAATTGAATAAATAGGTACCGGCCAAGCAAACGGTTTACTAATAATGGTACAATTGCTGAGAGACGCTACAACATGGAGTGTAGCCGCGTCGCCGTCGCCGGGGCCGCCCCGCGCGCGCGGGCGCCGGTGGGCGCAGGCCGACACAGGTGCGGCCAATCACCGCGCTACAGCGCTCGATCAACAATCAGCTCCTTATCTCCTCTCGTGTGTGCGGTAATTATTTATTGTAACGCAATAGGAAGCGCGGGTGGCGTGTGTGAGTGCATTTTTTTATCAGCGGTGAACGGACGCGAGTGCCCGTGCGCCGGCCGCCGCGATAGTGACGCGTGTAGGTGTCGCGTCCGCTCCCGGCTCCACCTCGGTACTATAGGTGCAGTTGATAAGCTGCGCTAATTCCGGTTAAAATTACCTATTGGGAATTATTTGTAAAATTTTTGTTTATATTCATGATAGCTTGATTGGTAGAGTTACGAGTAATTAATTAGGTAAACTTCGCTCGTCTAACTATACCTACTTCATACTTAAACCCAATCAACTCTCAATCCGAGGGGTGCAAGATGTAGAAATTTCTGCGTTGCAGCTCCATCTAATGGTATATTAGAGCAAAATGGATAGAATAAAAATCATCTACTCCTGTATATTTCAAGCACTCACTTAAGATCTTTCAAAGGTTTGTGTTTTTGAAGCCACAAAAAATTAATTGAATTGAGATTTGTGTTCTACGTTTATAATTTTATTTATGTAGATTTTTTTGTACTTGAAATATAAGCTTAAATAAATTAATAATGTATCATTAAAACAAACAAACAAAGCAAGTGTATTTAAATTTGAAAAAATAAGATTTGGGAATATAAGAATATAATTGACTTATTCATTATTTCAACGAGGAAATAAAGTGTTTGAGGCTTTCTAGATTAGGCCATTTATCGTCAAAAAGTTTTTAAAATGTATTAAGAGACACTGGTAATTTAAAAAATAATTTATTGAAATTAAATAAAAAAAGATTTATATTTTAGATAATTTATCCAAAGTAATATGTAATGTTTATAAGCACTCCTAAAAAGTAAATATGTAATACAATTTTATATTATTTTATTCATTTATTTTATGAATAAAAAAAATATATTACAAATAAAATAATTGTCAGAATAAGAAGAAGAGGTACCTACTAAATAATACATATAAGACGTAGTTATGTACACTAACACTAGGGACGTTAGAAAATACAAATGTAACGATAACTCTAGTACCTGTGTAAATTAACATAATATAAAAATTTTGCGAATTTGCTCTAGCGATAATATTTATTTAATAACTTCTGCTACATTTTTCTAAAGTTATTAATATTGTTGTCTTATTCTTATTACCTTACTTCTTAACATCAATACTTTTAAAAAATACAAAAGGAAGCTAAAATGTTATATTTAAATACAATTGTGTTAATATAAATAAAGTACGATAGAGTTGTTTCTCAGCTCTTACATTGAGACGAAACATTAGACTGCGAAACAAATTTCGGTACAGCTAGCGCCATCTGTTGTCAAGTAGCAAAAATTATAAACTATTTTTAATTTCTATTGACAATTTTTTTCTATAACCCACATGAAATATATTATGTATATATGTATGTTTATTTTAATGTTTTTACTCTGTACCTACACCGCATCTCGTCATGTTTTATCTCACGCTCGAGAGCTCTGGTAGAGATCTCTTAAAGAGATAAGTCACCCTTTTTACGAGGTATCTGCTTTCTATTTCTATACCTATGTATTTATTGTTTGGGGAAAATAAATAAAATGAAAGTAATTTATTAACAAAAATAATAATAACCACCTTATTGTCATAACTATTTATGTAGTCCACTTACCTAATGAACAGAGAGAACACTCGTTTCGTCAGAAATCGAAGCAGTAACATTGTACAAATAAAGCGATTCCAGCCAGACATCGCCTCTGTGCTAAAGAACGCCCATAGTAGTATATATATATAGTATATATAGTATCAATAACACAGTGTAACAGGCAGGTTAGTTATCGGTGAATACAGTTCGTTGTATTAGAGCGCGGTTTACGAGGCCATATTTTCTAAATTTCAATACCGGTGTGCCGATAGTGTTAACCAAACCTGGCGACTAAGGGCCGCGTACACAAATAACTGGTCAATATTAACTGCTAAATTAAGCTGGCGTGTATACGAGTATAACGGGCTTATTATTTGAGGGAATTATTATTATATTTTACACTAGTTTCCGCCCGCGGTCCTGCTCACCAGCGTACTTTTATAAAAATATCTGTGTTAATTAGATATAGTGTAATGGCTCTCTATTGGTGATAGGGTTTTTAAGTAGCATCAGTAGATTCAACACGATCTTGCATACAAACAAACAAATTCTTTATAATAGTGTAAAATTGCAAATTGCCGACTCGTCTTCATCGAAGGTCATTCTCTCAGCCTCCTTATCCTCATGATCGATGTTCAGTAATTAATATCTAACATTAAACAAAACATTAAAGCGAACTCCAAAGGAGGGTTCTCGTATTTCATAACAATTATATCCTAATATAAATATAATTGTATTATACGTCACATTATTCCCCACAAATTCCTTAAAAAATGGTCAAGAAAATTAAAATAATTGAATTCGTAGCTTAATTTAGTATGATTATATTCTTAGTTTAGTTAAACCATGAACGAATTAGCCGTTCATGAGTTAACCATACAGTAGAGCTCTATATTATATTGAAAAAAATCACAAACAAAATACTAAAGAACTTGTTTATTATGTTTACAAATAATATTGTAACGATCACGTAAAGGTGTCATTGTTTAGTCTCAAGGCTATGGACGTTGGAGTTTGACTCTAACAACAACAGGAAAGTGGTCGGTAGATTATGGAACCGTTCTTTATACTATTATGTTAAAAAATATATATTTACGAAGTAAATAATTATTATAGAGACAAATAAATACTTGAGAGATAGAGAACTTCAAAAGGTATGTATGTATGTATATAGAGTCTATACGTAGGTAACTAAAAACAGCTATGAAATTATATCGAGTAAACTTTCTTTCTTCAATACACTATGTTAGGATTTATAAATATTAAATATTAATGCTGTTTTAAATTATCATAAGTTAATCTTAAGTTATAAACAAAATAGATTTAAAACATCATAATTTTAAAATCAGTAATTTTAAATATAAATTATTTTGCGTTTGTTGGAATTATAATAGGTTCGATCGATTTTTTTGTCACTTTGACACCAGAATAAATAACAAAAGGAACATTTCATTAGTTTAGTTGACACTTCTCATAATAAGAGGTCGATGTATCTACCTTCTTAGGTTAATATTATATTATACTTTTATAAGTGACGTTCATTTATATGAAAGTACTAACTCTTCGGTAAAACGCGTGCCAGTCGTCAGAAGACAGTGCAAAAATATACCTCTACAAAACAATGTAAAAAAACTCAGAGAAAAGATTTTGGCGCCAAGTCGACATGATGTCAGCCAACAGCGGCGCTTGGGCGGCTCGACTCGGTACCAACCTAATTAATACTCCGCGGTACGCTCCTATACCTACGTTTGATATATCCTCGCCCACGCGCCGACGCTTTTAAAAATTATATTACGACAATTTAGGCTTATATGAGTTATGTTCGAATGTTCGTTAAGTTTTCCTTATTTGTCCATCGTTTCGGACTGGTAGGTAACACCTTTCGCTCTCATTTTATTTAAAAAATAAACATGTTAGTTTAAGATATGCTTACTCAAATAAATAGATTTATTGCATTTTATTTTAAATATAAGTTTTAAATTATATAAAATAATATTATATAAACTGTCAATGAATAGAGGTTGTCGCCCGGATTTGAACTCACAAACCAGGTACGATAAAGAAAGGTCATAGAGCTAACAACGAACTTATCTACCGAATGTTATAAAATTATCTAACCTATAAAATTATTTCGTTACAATATAAAACAAGCGCCGCTATCGCACCACTCTATGTTCGTGCTAATTTAATTAAAATAAATAAAATTCCTGCAATATTGTGTTGATTATTCCAAATATTGTATTAGCGAAGTTGATAGGTTCATTAACAGTAGATTATGTCCACAGTCCGGCCCGTGGCCGGGGGAGGCGCTGAGGGCAAGCCGTGCGAGGAGGAGGAGGAGCGCGGGGGCTCCCCGCTGGGCCCCGGCGGGCCCTTCTCCTGCAGCCAGTGCCGCGGCGCGTACCCCACGCGTGACCAGCTCGAGCGCCACGAGACGCTCCACACGCCCAGCACTCAGGTGGATAACATCAAATATGTCAGTGCCCATTTTAATATACCCACACTAGCCTTCCGTGCTGTATGGTGTGTTTATGCGTTTACAGGAACGTGTGGGTGAAAGAGGCATCTGAAAGAAGCCTGTGAGGAAAATAGAATAACAACGGTTTTTGCTAATTATGCTAACAACTTAGGCTGTATAGATTATTACTTTCCACTATAATACATCTTGTACAATTGTACTAATAAACAACTAAAAAACAAAACCATTTCTTAACATGGTGAATAGGGCCTTTTATTTTTATACTGAATGCTTTTTATTTTAAAATAACAAAATTTCAATTTAGTTTCTGTAAATCCGATACTATTACATGTTTCAGTTACTAGTTTATTTAATATTGCAATACCTTACTAACGAATGTATTTTTGTTAACAGACGTGCAAGATCTGCCACAAGAGCTTCTTAAATGTGTACCGACTTCAGCGACACATGATCAGCCACGACGAAAGTAAGGAGCTTCGCAAATACAAATGCAACGATTGCGATAAAGCGTTTAAATTTAAGCATCATCTCAAAGAGCATCTACGGATACACACCGGTGAAAAACCTTTTGAATGCGCCAACTGTGGCAAGAAGTTCTCTCATTCTGGGTCGTATTCTTCGCACATGACCTCCAAGAAATGTCTTGTAATGAATCTTAAAATGGGACGAATAAAGCCGAACAACCCCGCACTTAACCCTGACCGAAGCCCTTCGCGGAAGCGGGCGAATGCTATGGTTGCCTCTCAGTTGAACAATAATATTGGTCCGAATGGTAACTCTTTCTTGCCTATTCTTCCCAAATATAATGATGCGACAGCTGCATTTTTTGCATCAATTTCAAATCAAGAAAATAATTTACATCGACTACCTCTAGGTCAGCCGGGCTTAAATCCTTTCTATATGCCTCCAGGCATGCCCATGAGCCCCGCAAATGGTATTGCTCCATATAGTTTTCCGACATCATTGAGTCAACTTTTCGAGCAGCTAGCTTCTCAACAGTACCAACAAAGAAAACTAGAGAATCCAAGTCCAAAACAAATGGGCCTTCCTTCCGCAGATCCTGAAGATTTAATAGAAGAGGTTATGGAGGAGGACGATAAAAGATCAGAGGGTAGCGCTGAGTTAGTCATGGACATTGAAGACGAAGATAATATTTCCATTAAAAAAGAGCAAGAAGATCGAGATTGTGATCAAAAACCATCACCTCGTGCTTATGAATCCGTCCCTGTTAACAACAACAGTGCCGATATTGACAATAATCAAACTGGCTTTAATACGATACTAGATTCTGTTAGCGCATCTGTAACAAAACATTTCTTTAGAGCTGATATGGATAAGCCGGAGATACCGGTCTCTGTCCTGATCTCATATCCCAGTTTAGAATCACCCTTAACACCGCATGTTACAGTTAAAGAAGAGCCCGAAGATGTTCATCGTTGTTTAAAATGTAATTTGACTTTTAATGACAAAAATGAACTTCTAGAACATGAAAAGGTGTTGTGCGGAAATATGTTTAGAAAACATGAAGGGTTAGCTGCCCAAGTGGCTGAAACGGTAGCACTAAATCGATTAGAAGCTGAAATGCGAGCATCTATTCAGAGTGGTGTGAGTGCGAGTGAAGATGAAGACTTCGGCAAAGATGACCGGGATGACAAGGCCTCTCTCCATGACAGTGATAGAAAAATTAGAGTTCGTACAGCATTGAGCGAGGAACAACAAACCGTGTTAAAACAGCACTACGCTATTAACCCTCGACCAAATAGAGAGGAATTTAAAAAAATTGCTCAACAGATTGGTTTGGACAATAGAGTTGTACAAGTATGGTTCCAAAATAATAGAGCTAGAGTTCGTAGAATGACTCAAGCAATAGCGATTTCAGATCAACCACTAGACCTATCAACGAAAAAGTCAAATGCATCGGTTACATCGAGTCCCTCGCCGTCTCCACCGTGCAGCATTTCAGTAACACATTCCGATTCAGAAGAAGCTGTCAATTTGAGTCAAAAGTCGTCACGCAGCACAACACCACATCGTTCAAATTACTTGAACACGTATCCACATTCCAACTGCTCCTCTTCCTCTGTCACTGATTTTCGACTTTCGCCTTCACCGGGTGAAACAATTAGTGGGCAAAAAAGATTACTATCTCAGAAGATGCCCCTAAACCCTATGATGCCCATGGATAAACTACTTCAATACAATGACATGACAAACGGTCGTTCCCCTTTACTCAACATGCATATGGCGGACAGCAGACAAGATTCAAGTCCATCCTATGATCGACCGCCTTGGGGAGATGATCAAACACATATCGAATTTGAAGATGAAACTTCAGTACTTAAAAAAAGCAAGTTAAAGGTTGGAAATGACCTTAAAGAAAGTGAGGGTCAATTTGTCTGCGATCAATGTGACAAAACATTTGTAAAACAGAGTTCCCTTGCGAGACATAAATATGAGCATTCAGGTTAGTAAAGTTATATACTTATATATATATATATATATATATATATATATATATATATATATACTTATATATATAGTTATACACTATTATATACTTACATATATGTAAATTAATATATAGAGAAATACATAAACTTTCTTATGTCACGTGACATTATTTTTTTGTTAATTCTTGGCGACAAACATAAATTTTATTAATATTTTTATTGTTGCAGGCCAACGTCCTTACAAATGCCTGGAATGTCCCAAAGCCTTCAAACACAAACACCACTTAACCGAGCACAAGCGCTTACACACTGGAGAGAAACCCTTCCAATGTTGCAAGTGTTTAAAGAAGTTCTCCCACTCCGGCTCCTACAGTCAGCACATGAACCACAGGTTCGCGATCTGCAAGCCCTACAGGGATTAATTCTGGTAGCTAATTAAATTAGACAGAGAAATAGTCATAGCAAATATTTCGCAGCAAGTAAGGTAAAAATAAAATTATTTGAATAAAAACACACCGAAAATGTCCGCATAAAATAAAAGAAACAAACTTGACTTAGGTAAATGCAGAAATTTTCATAAATTGTGAATCTACAATTTGCATAAAGATCATATATAACCCATGTATTAAGAAGTAAAGTACCTACATATACTTAAGCTGCTCTCCCAGGTCGAATGCGAATTTTTTTACGTGAGCTTACAAAATGAATCTCTTTACTTCAACTGTCTATTCCTCATCCCCATCGTATGTGTGTGTGTGTGTGTCACGCAAGGCTGTTACTTAGTAATATGTCTCAACTTATTATATTAGTCTTACTTATCTTTTATTTATATTTTGTAAAGGTACGATTGTTAAAATTTTATTTGATTTCGCTATAAAACGTCTTTACTGAAAAAACTTCAATTAATTCATTTTATTTCAAATGTAATTTAAATATTTTTTAATAATTAAATTCAAGTTATCATGGATTTTAGCAATGAAATATACATATAAATCATATTAAGTTGGTGTATATTTTAACTTATATTTGTAACTTGTAAAAGACATCGAAATTTTATTCACATTTATTTTTTATCACCCATCGTATTTTGCAATTTTTTTGATCAGCTGAATTTTACCATATTTACAAAACATCTTTAGTATCGATAAATAGATTAACATACTCACGTTTAATATGTTACTACCTATATAATAAAAAAAATCATATTTTAATGATCAGCTGTAAAAAAATCAGCAATATACGGATGACATTTATTTATTCTATAAAGTATTCTTCGCTCGGTATTTATTCGAAAATATAATTTAAGGTTATTGCTCAACGTCATATTTGTGTACGTTAGAACATTGAATTACCTATTTACATAACTAGTGCCAAATATACCAAAGAAACGTTCGTGCCATTTCATATGCCAAATATTTTTACTTTACATTAATTTTAAGTATAAGTTTAAAAAAGGTTTGAGATTACACAGTTTATTGTCGATTTGTTACATTCACTCAAAGCTCATATTTCTTTATTAGGATGATGAGATATTATATTAGGAAATAATATATTAGACCTACAGTAATGTGTTAAAAATAATTTAACATTATAAAAAAAAATGTAGTACTCCATTTCTTATAAGTTATGCCATATTTTATTAGGTTTACTAAATCAGTCTTCCAGATTATTATTACTATATACGTACATACTATCTTACATAATTTTGAATTAATCTTATAAAGGAATATTTTTGCGATGTGTAAACTCAAACCTCATCTTAATAGATATAGCTAGATGTACTGTATCCCAAAGGCCCAGTACCTGTAGAAATACTCATATATAAATGCTCTTATTATTTTTATACTTATACGTCAAATAAATCATATTAGGTATGCATCTATAGTTGTATGTTAAATTTTTCATATATGATTTTAATAGAGGCATATACAAACACAAATTGCTAACTCAAATAGGATTATGAGACCTGTGTGTCTATCGTGATGACAATATATGTAGATAAGTAACTAAATATCCATGTAATTAACCTGTACAGCAGCCGTACATTGTCGATCTCCAAACAATACTGAGTTAATAATTGCGAAAACTAAACAATATAAACAACTAGCGGAATATATTATATACTACAGACCAATGTATCCATTTTAAATTTCCTTATACCAGCCTGTCTAATAACTTATATTGCAAGTCGACAGTGTGCGGCCGCGCTAACATAAATACGTACAAAAGAGTACCTACACGTCTAATTTAGACATGTAATTTCATGCTTTGCTTTTTCGCTGCAATATCGGTCCTTTCGAGGCGTCAGTATTTAATGAGTCTAACCAAAAACTATTCTACCATCATTTCTGTTAAATATAATCGTAAGCTTCTTGTATTTTAGGATTAAGGTTAAATAGCATCTATTAAGTTTAAAGCATTCCATAACACTATGGGATCTCTGCTGTGTTTTAAAAACTCTCTCGATTAATCCAAATATTGTACCAGATGTAAATATTATTGTACATACATATATTAAAAGTTTATGTGTAAATACGAACGCTTTAAATGTATTCTATTGTAAATGTACCAAAGTGCGCTAGCGTAGGGCCAAGCGTTATGAAACAATGAATAAGTGACAATAATAAGTGAACATCTGTTTATTGAAAGCGTATATATAATAATAACTGTACTTGTAAAGCGAAATTCCCATTACTGTTACCAGCGAGCTCTGCGTTATTTATTAAAATAATCGCAAGGTTTATTCGAATTACAGTATGTTACTGTAATACTGTGACAGTGGATAGATTCAGGAAGAAAATGATCGATGTACTTAATTCGTATACTGTTATGAACTTAAGTACGTATATTTAAGTTGTTCAATACTCAAAACATTATCATTTTCCATTCAGCAGTATGTTAGAACAGAAAGTTCCTAAGCAAAATACTTTTAAGTGATACTTATATACCTATTATATTTTGTAATCATAAGTAGATAATTCATTTCTAAAGGTTTCTAATCAACGAATTACATGAATTATTGCGAACAAACTTGTTCAGCATAATTTGTCCGTAGAGACAGTATTTGAAAACATTTTAACATTATGTAGTTGTATAGAGAGCAAATCTTGTTGGTTATGAGGACTAAGGCCCGACATAGGGCAGTCTTTCCGGTTCAGAATATTATTTATTATATATTGCTACGCATATTTTCACGTATCATTTAAAAAATTTTTAAGTTCTTGCTTAGTCATATTGTCAGTCTCTTATTATATCTTGATAAAACAAAATAACTATATTATACATAATATTGTATCCAATAAAACTAGATTTATTTGGAAACTTGCTTTAAAGATCGACCCTTAGTCCAATCAGTATTCCACTAATTCGAATTGTCCCGCAGATTGCCAAATTTGTAATTATTATAATGAAAAAAAGATATTGTAAAATGAATAATTATAATTAAGCGAATCTGTTTGAGATGTTTCATATTTTATTATAATTTTAGATACTAGGTAAGTGATTTCCAAATTATCACCGGTGGGCTAGATGAACCAAAGATTAATTAGTTTACTATATGTGATGCGGAACATTGTAATATATAATCCTCCCATCATTTAATTTAAGTTTGTGCCAAAAATAATTATATAGCTTCGATGTAAATTATATTTTAATTGGAAAGGCATTATGTACTACGGCATTATTTAGTTATTCTTGTGCAATATAATATTGCAAAGAAGTATTTTTTCTATATATATAGTTTTAGTGATTTAGGCCAAAGTGAATTCCTATTGCCATATTTGTTGTAAGGTGCGCTAGTGTTGGGACACTTGTTGACGTACGTAAGGTAATTTAGATTGTTAAACTTAACCATAGATTAAAATGTGTTAAAATATTGCCTATATAAATTATAGTAATTCATTTTACTTGATATTATAATGTATATTGAATTTATGAATATTAAAAATATATATATTGACAATTCAATGCAACTAAGTCTTTTATTAACTTAACCAACGTGAGGGAAGCTACGGGTAAAAGCTAGTAGTTTATCTTTATATCTTAGTAAGCGCTATGCAACAGATAGTTTCAGGTTAATATGAATGTAATTAGGATAAGATCCTAGATCCTTTCGACGGAATGGTCGTCATGTCGTCTGATAATATGGCCGTACAAGCGCATTCGGCTCTCTTTTATCTTTTCGACAATAGGTGCTACTGCTTAAATGATCCCTCATGTGTGGCGATATCTGAATAAGTCGTTTACGTCACAGACACGCGAGTGTAGGTCTACCCTTACGCGCGCTACGAAATCGGTTTTTATGATTTAAAATAAGATATCTCTAAAGTTATGTATTGGAGGTGTATATATATATAACTTATTTCGTTGGAATCGTTATGAAATAACCTAACACATTAAAAATGATTTATTCCAGTTTTACCTAACAATGTATTAGTAAATCGACCTCGAAGTCAGGGTAACCCGATTTTACTAAAAATCTACCTAAAAATATTTACAACTTAAAAATAGAACCATTACTTCAAATTATATTATACTTTATTTTATAAATAACTACATTATCTCACATTAATAAACAAATAAAACACACCTCCCCATATATTTATTTTTTTTATTTATTTTATAAGCACACTTACAATATACATATTTAACATTAACACACAACAGATTAAGAAAATTGAAAAGTAACACACACTGATATGTATATCAATAACTAGTGTACATAACATTCACCAACAAATACATGTAAACACTGACAGTATTTTTTTCACCACACAAGGGTAACAAAATTTTAGCCTTTTTTTTATACCCGCGCGTGCCAAAAAAAATCACCGCTACCCTTCAATACCGAAAACACTGTATGTCAAGTGGCTTAGGTTAATAACTTTTTATATAATATGGAGCACATATTTAGGTATAACAGACAGAGTTTCAAGTGTTTGAATTTTTTAGTTTACAATAAATAAACTACAAACCAAGCACTTGCTTGAGATTTAAAGAAAAAAAAGGCCTCTCAAATTTTGGCAAATATTGATAAATTCTTTGCATTTATTTAAAACACTAATTTTTTTAAATATAATTATACTCGTATCGACAATTCATTAAACACAACCCTAAGATAATAATGCTTCCTTATTCAAATACTTCTAAAATAAACAAATGAACCCCATCTGTGTCGACCTCTTTTAAAGATCGATGGCTACTATTTTATGTCAATGATACGAAAATTTCGGACGTTTGTTTTTAAATTAAATGTCTGGTATTTTAAATAAAATGTCTGGTAACAATAATAACATTTATAGGCTACGTATACAATATATAACGTATATAAGAGTCCACTAAATCAGTGGACTACACACATCCGGCACAGTTCTGTTATTTCATTCTCATTGTCATTGAGTATACAGGATGGAACAAATCGATGGGATATGGAAGAAAAGTACCTTAAATATTGAAGTTATCAAGATTTACTAAAAGGAAACATTTCATTATTTTTAAAATAGTAATAACTGCATTTTTTTTAAAAGCTTACCTGAACCGGGAATCGAACCAAATAAAAATGCAAAAAAGGACACCGTCACTATTTTATCGGATTAATCGATAGGGTCTATGGGAAGGATAAAATCTCTCGAACAAACATTGCGTCTTAGAATTAAAGAAAACGATGAAATCTTACAAATTATACATAGGTACGACTCTAACGTCGTGGAATAAACTCAAAGGACATGGAAGAAAAGTGTCTTAAACACTGAAAATATCAAGTTTCAGTCAAAGGAAACATAATTTTGTTTTTAAAAATAAGAATAACAGCATTTAATTTTCTTTAAAGAGGTGATCTGAACCGATAATAGAACCAACTGATAATGATGGTATAATGTCGAATTGAGAACCTCCTCCTTTTTTGTCGGTTAAAAATATGTGAGACTTTTAAGCTTACATATGAAATGCTAAAACAAAGCTATATACAAATTTTATAACTTCGATTCCAGAGGATAAAGCCTTATTTGATTTGGCTATACGATATTTTAGGTATTTTAGGACAGCTATCCGAGTTTCTTTCATGTTGTTGCAGTTTTATCCAATCCATTTTTGACAGCAGTAAATGGTAATGACATATGTCAAAACTGTCAGGCCACCTCAGTTTCAGATGACATATGTCATATGCCAATGCCATTTGGCTTTTGTGATTTGTCGTAGTTTTAGTTGTAATAAAACTAAACTATAAATTAGCTTAAATTATCATATCAAGAGAACTATTTGTAATAGATGAAAAAAATCTGTAGATACTTACAAATTAAGTTATAATGGGTGGTAAAACAAAACAAAGTCAAAGAACAAAAAATAATGTGAGAGTAAGTATCGGCATATTGTAGATTTGTTCCTTTCATCTAAATAATATAATGAAATTCTCACTATTATGTTTTCATGCTATACTAAATATTTTTCATGTTACAGCCTTCAAGCAGTGGCCGTAGTGCAGAAATCCTAAGCAATACCATTAAAGTAGATTCCCCATTTCTAACAGTAGGACCAGGCAAAGTAGTACCTGCACTATTTCCTACCCTCACAGGAACAAATATTGACCAAAATTTAAATCCCGAATATTCGGTCTGTTTTAAAAAGTTTAACAAAAAAGACCCTGTTACTAAAACCAAGGTATTTCAAAATTGTAATTTTAATAATCAGAAACTTTATTTGAAACTCATGTTTTGTTCAGATATCAATAAAATCTTGTTTGTTTAAATAAATTACAGGCTTTACAAGAATTGCTAGAACTGGTTAAAAGTGGTAATGTAGAAGAAGTAGTAGCAGCTTTACCCAGTTGGGCCCATTATTATCAAACATTAACTATTGATACAGATCGCAGAGTGCGAGAAGCGGCACAGGTAAATGAAATATCTACAATTTTTAACTTTTTTTGATATACACATTAATTTATTGACTCGCTTCAAAAAGGAGGATTTGTCTATGTATATCTTTTTTTGATGTTATCGAATTTTAGATTGACTTTTCATAATATTTTTTTCAAACATAATTTAATACCTCAATTTTATCTTAAAACAAATAGTTTTTATTGATTATTATCTTGTGTGATGTGGATTTAGGATGGTGTTAAGGATGGATGGACTGGATGGATGGACTTGGATGATAAATATGTTAATGAATATTTCAGATATGTTGTCAAATAGATAAATTATTTGAGCACAGCCTTTTTTTGACTTAAGCAATTAGCAGCATGTTGTGACTTTTGACTCTGTGAGTGATATTATTACATAGTCTGGCCATAAACACTGTTACAGTTAAAAATAAACAAATGTTACATTTGAATTCGGAATCTGTCATTTTTATATGATTGTTCATTGTGTTTTCTCATTTACGCGCTAATAAAATATAAAATATTTTGTGATATTAAATTGGAGTGGGGTGATAAAGAGAACCGAATCGCTGTGATTGCATTACACAAAATAGGTATGGAGCTAAATACAATTTTTAAAACTTTCCATATGCTTGGTATTAGTCAAATGTCTGTGCACCAGGCTATTGATAGATACAACGAAACCTCCTCTGTGTCATAGAAAGATCTGGCGGTCCACGTAGTTTGTACGAAAAAGGCGATCAAAGCAATAAGGGAAACATTTGAAGAAATCCTGTCGAAAGCAAAATGTTTTATCTTATTATGTAAAAGAATAGGGTGGTAAAATCAAAACAACTACTTAAGCGGTACGCAAAGGGAGGTCACAGACAATTTTATTCATGGATGAGAAATTTTCTACAATTGAGCAATATTTTAACAAACAAAATGACCATATTTATGCTCAAAGCTCTAAGGAAGCTTCCCAGTTAGTCAACAGAGTACAATGTGGGCATTATCCGACTTCAGTGATGGTTTGTTTGGTGGCGTGTCAGCTATGAAGGAGTGACTGAGCCATATTTTTGTGAAAAAGGTATCAAAACATCGGCACAAGTGTATCAAGATACGGTTCTGGAGAAGGTAGTTAAGCCCCTTAACCACATCATGTTGAATAACCAAAAATGGTCCTTTCAGCAAGTCATAAAGCTCGATCCACGCAATCTTGGTTAGTAAGCCATGTTCCGGACTTCATCACAGCTAAAGACTAGCCGTCATCTAGTCCCGATATTAATCCGCTGGATTATGATTTATGGTCAGTTTTAGAGAGTATGGCTTGCTCTAAATGCCATGGTAATTTGGAATCCCTAAAACAATCCATACGATTGGCAGTGAAGAATTTTCCCATGAAAAAGAGTGCGTGCTTGTATTGATAACGGGTCTCAACGTTTAAAGTACTGTGTTGCAGCTAACATACTCTAATAGTAATAAATGTTACGTGCAATAGAAAAAAAAAAGTGCAATTCACACATCGTAGAAGTGAAACTTCAGAAAATGATATGAATATAGAGTATCAGGAGTAGGATAATCATAAGGATTTTTTTATATTATTTTTACCAAGTTTAAAAGTTATTTTACATTTTATTTGTCATAAATATAAACATTACATAATAATCAGTAATGAATTTTATTATTTTTCACTCCTGTGTAATGTATTCTATCAAATAACAACGGTTACCATGACAACGGTTACCATGGCATCATCGCAATGTATTCTATCTCATTCTATCGCCGGCTTAATCCTATATATTTATATGTTTGTCTCTTTTTACTGTCGCATTTCCGTTGCATCGAGTTTCAAATCACAACGATTCTAAAGAAGTTTCACTTCAAATTTTTTTCTTTGTAACAATATTTAGGGCAAGACTATGTATATTGGTTTAGCAATCAACCATTTCCCACAGGCATGTCACGGAGCGATAATATCAGCGTGCGGCAGACAAGCGGCGCCGTACTTGCGCCGGCTGCTGCCCGCCTGGCTGCTGGCGCAGTACGACGAGCACGCGCCCGTCAGTTCCCTCGCACAGGCACAGCTCGCGGTTTGTCTTTAAATTCATAATGATAAATTAATTTAAACTTAGTCAATGTTCAATTTTATTATGTGTTCAATTTTATTTATGTTCAATCTTATTGTAATACTAATCTAATTTTTCCCTGAATTGAGTATTAATAATATTTTATTTTTTTGAAAAAATTTTTTTTTTCTTTGATAAGTGAGTTAATAATATAAAGCTATTTTAATCTTTTATTCTTTCTTACTTACAGAGCACCTTTCCAGAAGGCAAATTATCTGAAGCAATATCATTTTGCAAGGCGGAGATCATTGCTCTGATCATAGACAACCTCACTGGTAATGCTGAGGCCATGCTTAGCAACAAGTTAGTACACCAAGTTATTATTATACTAGCGACTCACCCTCGCTTCGCCCGGGTTCGTCCCTAGGTACGTTTTGATTTTTTTGAACGCAACCCTAATTCTTTTTCTAAAATAAAAGTAGCCTATGTTACTCCCTATAACATTAGCTATCTTTCAGTGAAAGTCCCGTCAAAATCAGTCCAGCCGTTTCAGAGATTATCCAGAACAAACAGACAGACAGACAAACAAAAATATAAAAAAAAGTGTTTTTCTTATAAGTAGGTACCATATATAATTTCATATGCATTCAGTAAAACGTTTTTGACATTACAAACAGACACCTTAATTTTTTCATTTTTATTTATTATTTATCTGTAAAGACTTAATTAAGTCAACATTTAACCAATTTAAAAAAAGGAGGCTATCAATTCGACATGTATGAATGGAATATTATTAGAACTGCAAAATATTCACATAATATGATAATAATCTATTAGGGCTTAAAAAAAATATACAAAATTTATAGGTGTATGTATGTATGTTTGTCCACGCATTTCTCAGAAACTAGTAATCGGATCGTGATCATTCTTTTTTTATTTGCTTACATTTATTTCCACTTAGGGAATAGTAAAAATTTTATCAAAATCGGTTCAGTAGTTTCTATTTATTTATTTTAACGGCCTGATGCAAACTACGGGTATAGTGTCAAAGGGAAAACCTTTCAACATTGGTCAAATTTTGATGCGCATGTACGAAAATCAAAATGGCCTAAATTAAACTGGCATTACAATACAAATCGGTCTGGGAGTTTTTTTTAAAGTAAATTTATTTTATAAGTATTAAGCTTTAATAAAAAAATCTCAATTCAAAGATTATGCCTTGAATCAAAAATTATTAAAAAAGGTTTTTTTTTAATATTAAAGTTTAAAATTAACACAAAAAAAAAACAAAACAAATAAACCTGAATTCCGAAAGCTGGTTTTACTAGTAGATAGCTATTATATAGTTCATACATTTTTTGATTTTTTGAGAACGAGTATCGGGAAGTGGATAGGAGAATGGCTCGAAACCTTCTCTTGATCCTGGATAATACGAATATCTAAACGATATGACAAAAAGAAGTACCATTCTCGTGACTGACGTGACGTGATTCTCGTGACCATGATTGCTATAAAGCATTCGAGACGTCGGGAACCAAAAATCTAAATAAATCCGCGAAATAATCCGAAAAAATAGTTTTTTTTAAATGTCAAATATTCGCGTAAATCTAATAAAGTATGTATTGTAAAACGAAGTAGGTTTAAATTAACTTCCAAAATATTTTACACAACTTAGACATACATGTGCAAGTGAAGCTAATACAAGTATATTTAAAGAGCACTGTAGCTTTTTTGTGAATGTTGGATCAAAAACAGTTACATATTATATTTTAAGCATTTAATTATTTTACTAAAGCAAGAACTCTATATTCATTTGATTATATTATGTACTTATATCACTATTATCACTAATAATGCATACATTTTATTTATTTACTTATTTGAAATATAATAATTCGAAACAAACAAAACTAATCTTTTTTGGATTTATCCACGGATTTATTCTGTTTTGGTTCTACACGTTTCGAATGCTATACAGCAATCATAGTTTTGGGAGATTCTTTGGTTTTAGGTGTCTCAATGGTTATTTTATAGTTGTTATTTAGTATTGCTCTTATTAGATTTATAAACTAAAAAAATAATAAATATGAATTTGGTTTGTTATTATTTTAAAGATCAAAATATTAAGCAACACTATTGCTACATTGAAATGCTATTATTGATCTACACAATAAGAATTAACTGCAAAGTGATTATTCGTAGAGTGACAGAGCCAGAGGAGCGCGAGCTGCAGCTAGCGCGCGTGGCGGCGGGCAGCCTGCGCGCGCTGGAGCAGCTGGCGGCGGCGCCGGCGCTGGCCTGGCTGCCGGACGCCGCCGCGCCGCTGCTGCGCGCCGCCGCCTTCTGGAAGCTGGCGGCGCACGACTCGCCGCTCGTTAGGTGAGGCTGGGTGCTTGGAAATGTCACGATGAAACCTGCGTTTTCTTAATTCTGTCAAACCTATCATCTATACTGATATAATGAGAAGTTATATAAACTTAGTTTTTTTGTAGAGGTTAATCTCTGGAATTACTGAACCGATTCCAAAAATTCTTTTATTAATAGAAAGCTACACTACTCCTGACGAATATAGGCTGTTTTATTTCGATTTAAGGAAATTTTTAGTTTTAAATTTTAATATTTGCTAATGGAGTCAGAGAAAAATGAGTTAAATAGACGTTTCACCGACCCGTGCTGGCCAAATGTTTACCTGTATATCAAAGTAATGTATATAATTTGCTAGTAAAATATACATTTGCAATTCGAGCTAATAAGAATAAATTTGATGTATTCGTCTCGCGTGCAGAGCGGCCTGGTACGGCTGCGCGGCGCGGCTGCTGGCGCGGCGGGCGGGCGGCGCGCCGCGCGAGCAGGGCGTGCGCGCGCTGCGGGCGCTGCTGGCGCTGCCCGAGCGCGCGCGCGCGCCCGCCGCGGCCCGCTGGCGCGCGCTGCTGCTGCTGCTGCACGGCGCGCAGGTCACACGCACACACACACGCACACACACACACACGTACACTCACTTTACGAACACAAAGTATCACAGTCTGTCGACGCTACCTTAGTTCCTAGTTCGCCTCGACGGGGTGGTCGAGTGGGCCGCGCGGGAGGACACGCTCCCGACTGTCATACTTACTGTACCGGTTCTTGCTAATTAAAACACTATTAGATTGTTAAAGTAATAAATTGTTTAGGAATCACCACTTGATACTGTTTATTGTCTGTAAACTTATTATTAAAATGGACCTATGAGCGAGGCTCACTCACTAGTGCTACTTGAACTAACTTGATTTTATGAATTAAAATAATAAATGACGCGTCTCGAGTAAAATGCTGTCTGCTGTATTACAATATGTTACGATTACACCATACATGTGCTCACCAGAGAGAGAATAATTATATGAATGATAAATTATTATGGTAATAAGACATAACCAAAGTTGGGGATAGATCTAGGGTTGACAAGCATAACTAACTTGTCACTGGAGGAATGCAATACTTTAACAGCGAAACTTTTCGCCATGATTTTTTTTATTTTTATTTCGTTAAAATCAATGTGCAATGATTTTTATACTGTGTTCTACATTATACTTCTTTCAATATTGTATTGAAATTAAAAAAATATATATAATTAATTATTTTATCGTCGTTCCTACAAATATATAGTATTGGCACGCAGTATAAAATTTTTAAAGTTATTTTTGTTTTAATTTGCCAAAGAAATATATCTTCTTATGTGCGTATATAAGTACACAATACAAACACACTATTATTTAGTATTTTGATAAACTTTATTTAAGTATAATTTATCATTTTTGTATTTGTTCACTTACAGGAGTGGCACACGTGGCTGGATAAAAAGGACCTCCTTGTTAAACGGTTTTTAGACCTATTGGAAAATGGTAATTATTATATTGGGATGATACAATTATCAATATCATTAATATATCCCAAAAGAACGAATATAATACGAAAGTTATTATTCAGGCGCGTGGGGAGAGGCGCGACTGGTGTCGGACATCACGCTGCCGCTGCTGGCGATGCTGCCCGAGGAGTTAATAAGCAAAGAGTTTTATATTACACTCTTCAACGCTCTATTTACTGGGTTCGTAGAAAACTAAAACTGTGTATAAATCTCTTCTTGAACAATTGAACCGTGTCGTCTGTAATATGAAACATTGTTATGTCGCTTCTAACAGGAACCTAGAAATAAATGACAAAATCATCATTAAGAACGAATGTAGCAAAAATTGTTTAGTAATCTTGTCTCAAATAACATAAGACACAAAAGAGTCTTTGAACAAAACTCACGTTTATGTCAAAGTAACTAACATTTTACAGGTTAGAAAATAAGAGCATACTCAGTTCGAAAACTGAGAGGCAGATTTGGATAACGAATATATCGGACTGCCTCCGGTACCTGTCAGAGCGGCCGCACGAGTACGCGGCGGAGGCGGCCGGCGCCGCGCTCCGCGCCTGGCTCGCCCGCGCGCTGGCGGCGCCGGGCCATGTGCGTGGCCACGTGCTGCGCCACTCCGCCGCCTGTATGGCCGCGCTCGCCAAGTGCTGGCTGGAGCGGGCCGCCGCAGGCCGCGCCGGGTACGACCAGCTCGTCCGGAACTTCTGGCAAAACATCGGCTCCACCATCTCTGCGCAGATAGAAAGATTGTCAATGGAAGAAAATGAAATCACGCAGCTAATAGACGATCATACATTACTATTGAGTACCCTAAGAACATCGTTCAATCGGGACAAAAAACAACTCAACATTCAATTTGCAGATGAAAAGGTGGAAAAAGTCGATATAAAACCCAAAGATGTTGTAGCATGTGACAAAGCGTTAATGGATAGGTTTATGCACAATTTGAACGAAATAGTGGAAAGGACATGTTGCCAATACTTTGATTTTGCTCACACAAAAATGATGTCTCGAGCAGTTTTTTCTTCGTTGATAACTTTATTGGTGGAGTTTGATAGTAAAAACCTATTTCTGTCTATTTGGAGACATTTTAATGCAGATTCTATGTACAGTTTTTATGATAAAGTGTTGAAAAGTTGGCTCTCCGGTGACACTATGAGGTGCGAAGCGCTGGTGGAAGTGCTGTTCTTACTATTTAAATACTTCACTGAAGAAGAACTAGAGAATGTGTACAACTCCTTCCAACAGGTAATAGAAATATAAAAAAATATAAACGCGCAATATTCATTTTTTTTTTTATACTATTCCGAATTAGTGCTTGACTACGTTCCACCTGATGGTAAGTGGTAACGCAGTCGTAGATGGTAAGTCGCACTAATTCAGTAGCCACCTATTCACTCTTGCCTTGAAGACACCCATATTATAATCGGACGGAAACACCGACGCAGGCAGGTTGTTCCAATCCTTAGCCGTACGTATAATAAATGACGTAGCGAAACGCTTCGTGCGGACGGGTGGAATGTCCACGACATAAGGATGGAGACCAGCCGTTCGTCGAGTTGTCCGATGATGGAAAGGGGATGGGGGAATTAATTCATGTAGTTCCTGCGCACACTCTCCGAAATGTAACCTATAGAATACACAAAGGCTGGCAACCCTACGTCGGTGATCGAGGCTTTGTAAGTTAGCTTTTACCAGCGCAGGGTCACCTATAAGCCTTTGAGCACGCCTCTCAATCGAGTCCAAGGCTGACAGATGGCATTTCGCAGCACCAGCCCATATGTGGCTACAGTATTCCACACACGACCGGACTTGCGCTTTATATAAAACAAGAAGCTGTCCCGGCGTGAAATACTGTCGGACCTTTGCAAGGATGCCAACTTTCCTCGCAGCTACATTAGCCTTAGACTCGATGAACCGCCCGTAGTTCATGTTGGGGCTGATGTCCATCCCCAATAACTGCAGACGTTCTGTGTATTCCAAAGGCACATTCCGGAAAGTAGGAGTCAAGGTGAAAGGACTCCTTTTAGTGGTGAACAGGCACGCCTGTGTTTTGGTGGCATTGAAACTCACAAGATTGGCATCGCCCCAAGTGGAGACTGCCCTGAGTGTGAGATTCAACCGCTCTACCATGGCCTCTCTTTCGGACTGAATTTGATCTCTACTGGCCCGAGGATTCGGCAGGTATCTCTCTACAATAGTGCTGTCGTCTGCGTACCCATAGATACCGGGTATAAGCAGATCGTTGATATGCAGCAGAAACAAGGTTGCAGAGAGAACAGACCCCTGAGGAACTCCTGAGTTGGTCTTTAAGGGTTGTGATGAACAACCATCAACCACAACTCTGAGTGATCGGTCGCTCAGGAAGTCTTTAATCCAGCCGATCAGGCCAGGAGATATGCCATAGGCTGAAAGCTTATATATAAGGCTAGCGTGCCAGACCCTGTCAAAGGCCTTTGAGACATCGAGGGAGACGGCAATCGCCTCCCCGCTTCGGTCAATAGTTTCGCCAAAGGTGTGATTGGCATACACTAGAAGGTCCCCAGTCGACCGATTCCGGCGAAACCCATATTGTCGATCACTGAGGAGATCGTTCTGTTCTAGGTATGCCATAAGACGAGTGTTCAATACACGCTCCATAATCTTGCAGAGTATGGAGGTGATTGAGATCGGACGATAATTGGCAGGGTCAGCACGGCTTCCTTTCTTGGGCACTGGTTGCACATTGGCAAGCTTCCAGGATTTAGGCACTATTCCAGTCTTAAGAGAAAGGCGGTACAGGCGTGTCAGTATCGGAGACAACTCGGGAGCACATGTTTTAAGGACTATCGCTGGTATACCATCAGGACCACTGGCTTTATTCACATCTAGACGACACAATACTCTCTTAACCTCCTTATTAGTTATCGCAATCTCAGGCATTGAGATCCTGCAGTGAGGTAGATGTGGTGGAGTAGCATTGCCAGAGTCTAGACATGAATTTTGGGCAAAACGAGAGGCAAGCAAAGTCGCCTTTTCCTTTGCCGTATGAGCCAGGGATCCGTCAGATTTTACCAGCGGTGGGGCAGTGAGGGCCGAGAGAAGTTCGTCTCGACAGCTTTGGTAAGGGACCAAAAAGCTCTGCTGCCAGATGGTTGGGCAGAGAGCTTTGCACCAAAATGTGTAATTCGGTCAAGACGAGCCTTCTTTAATGTCTTTTTGTGGGACTTGGCGGCTAAGTTAAAGGCTCTCTTCTTGAATCTTATATCCGGAGCTTTGCGGTCTCGAGCATCAACCCAGGCAAGGTAAGCCGATTGCTTACGCTTTTCAGCAAAGGTGCATTCGGCATTAAACCATGGGCGAGCTTTGCCACCAACGGGTACATCAGAGAACGGGATAAAATATTCCATCGCTTGATGCACCACATCAGTTATAGCATCCGCACAGCTCGACGGATTGGAAGAAGAGAAGCAGACCTGCCGCCAAGGAAAGGATGCAAAAAAATGTCGCATCTCATCCCAATCTGCTGACTTGTATTGCCATACTCGTCTAACGCCAGTAGAATCGTTATCTGGTGGAGAGTAAGACGATACAGTTTTTACCAGACAGTGGTCAGAGCTACCCAATGGGGATGAAACCTGGATGTTATATCTGTCTGGATCAGTTGTCAGCAGAAGGTCCAGACAATTAGCTGAGTGGCCATCTACATCGGGTACCCTCGTCGCTTGTTCAACCAACTGGGAGAGTCCAAGTGATACCGCAAACTTCTACGCTTCTCTCCCAGCATGGTCCGTCTTCTGGTATGGGAACAGCCAATCTTCATGATGGGCGTTAAAGTCCCCCAGAAAGACAAGCTGCGCGGTGGGGTACCGTTGCATAGCCACATCAGCGGCCTCACTGAGATGTTCAAACAATCGAGTTGTCTCCTGGTCACCTGTGTGCGATCGGTAGACACAGGAATACAGGATCTTTTCGATTCCTGTATCTACGATAACCCAGATCGTAGAAAATGTGTGGTCTTCAAGGTGGCGGAGGCGCTGGAAACAGAGGTCATTTCGCACGTACAAACAGACCCCAGCCCGTGAGCTGAGATTATTACTACTATATTTACCGAAAATTTGAATTTAAAGAAAAAAAATATTTAATGACTATAGATTCGATTGTAATAATTCTTTCTCTATATTATTGCTGGATGCTTCAGGCTTTTAAAAAAATGTTTGCTGTTGGAAATCATAATAAATTTAATTGAAGTCGGGAGAAAACTAACAGTTGATTTGCTTAAACGGCGTGCGCTGCCTGGACTGTTTGAATTCAATTCAATTTTCTTGTTGGTGGTTTCAAAGCGACTATGTGAACTTGGCACCCGACTTTGGAAAAATTGTTCTTTTTTTAGGTTTATTTGAACGATTTCGGTTAGTAGTAGATAGTAGTGAAGCTAACTTCGTTTGCAGTAGTGCCAAAAAAAAATACAGACAACAAAAAAAATGTCATCCCCCGAAGTTGGTAAAGAAAAAATTCCGCTTGATTTGTATAGAAAAACGTTAGTAGAGGTTTGTAATGCAATTTTTTTCGTTTGTAGTGAAACAAAAATTTTTGTTACGCTTGGCGTGACGTCACAGTATGATATACACAGAAAAATGACGACTCAATTTGTAGCGACAAAATGGCTAATCGGTCTGTTATAATAATACTCTGATGTCATATTCGGGCCGACCAATAGCGTGCGGGTCGACCACTTTGAAGTTTCCATCTGTATTTATTTTAATAATTATTTTCATACTCAAAAAGAAATGACATAAAAATTATTGATATAGCCTTAATTCATAAGCGATAAAGATTATAAAAAGTAATATTGAACTTTTGTTTAAATCGCACGCATATTGCCGCCGGCAGTTCTTGCCGCTGGTGGTGGAGTGGTGCCTGGCGCGCAGCCTGGCGCGGCCGCAGTGCGCGGCGGCGCGGCGCTGGCTGCGCGGCCACACGGCGCAGGCCGCCGCGCTGGCGCTGTGCCGGCGCGGCGACGCGCGCGCGCACCACCTGCTGCTGCGCTGCCTCGCGCACGACGACCGAGGCGGTGAGGGGCCACTTGTTTCTCTCTTTAATATTACAACCAAGCTCCTTATCGCACGTTACTTGGCGTATTTGATGAATGAGAGCTAAGCGGAAATAGGTGGAACGTTTGGGCAGTTACGACATTTTTATTATTTAACCCTATTACAAGTTCCAGGTCATAAGTGTTGAGGGGTGTATATTGTAAGAAATAAATATTTCGTGTGCACTCTCTGCAGGCTTTTTTCTAAATGGTTTTAACAAAAAAAAACATTGTTTGATATTTATAATACTCTAGTACTTAATACTTTCTTATATTTACGCAAATATTTCACATTTTAAATAAAACTATCTTTTTGGATTATTTCGCGAATTTACTTTGATTTTTCGTTTCCGATGTTTCGAATGCCGAGCATGAATCTTAATACTTGTGACAATTTAATGACCTAATGTATAAGCTAAAAGGAGCCAAATCGAAGAGAACTCAATATAAGTGTTATTTTGATCAGGTTTTAGTAAAAAAAAATACAAATATTTTTTTTTTATAAATTAATTTCTCTCTTCTAAAGGTGGAATATGTACTTTAAAATAATATTAAATTTGCTGTATTTTTACACTATGAGTTTATCAGAATTATAAAACATTTGTGGTGCCTATTAATGAATGACCTACCCCGGGCAGAGGTGATGGTGAACGCGGCGGTGGTGGAGCAGGCGGTGGTGGCGCAGGCGGCGGCGCTGCGCGCGGGCGCGGCGGACGGCGCGGCGCGCGCGGCGCGGCTGGCGGCGGCGCTGGCGCCCTCGGCCGAGGCCGCGCGCGCTTCGCCGCTGCTCCAGGAGCTCTTCCGTCTCAACCTTAGAGTTAAGGTCAGTGTTATCGTGTAGTGTGTGACCTCTCGACTTGTTACTTTTACTAGGCACGTTTTAACGGTTAGTATGAAATACAAATCTTTGAATTTCTCGGTTTTTCTGTACTGTAATATGCATGTATTATACATATAAACCTTCGTCTTGAATCACTCTATCTTTCAAAAATCCGCATCAAAATCAATTGCATAGTTTTAAAAAAATTAAGCATACATAGAGACAGATAGATAGCGGGCAGCGACTTTGTTTTATACTATGTAGTGATATCGTTATTCAGCCCTATTTTAATGTGTCACTGTTGAGGACAGACTTCCGTACAATATGACGACGATCAGGTTATATACTATATATACTTCGATGGTCCATCACGCAAGCTAAGTGCGGATTGATAAACTTTACATGATATGAAAATTAGTTAAGTTCGCCCAAATATGTAAATTTCCTCAATATGTTTTCCTTCAGTGTTAGGCAAGCAGTAACCATGCTGAAAATAATTAACTTATGAAAATATCGATTTATTATTGAGGCTCCAAAATGTTGACCGACGGATTGATTAAATTTGCCAGAATCCACTGAATATGATAGCATAAGACCGGTAGTCGTGGAAATATTTAAAGGAGTCCTATCTCTAACAGTTGACGTCTTTGATAATGGCGCCTATAATTAGTATTCACGTGAAGACAAATATTTTGTTATATAATATTTATGTAAATATTACACGGTTATGTATACTGTCGGTGTTTCTACTCATTGAAATGATGATGATGAGTGTGTGTACTCAGCGGGGCTCGGCGGAGTGGGCGGAGGCGCGCGCGGCGTGGCGCGGCGCGCTGGCGGCGCCGGGGGCCGCGCGCGCGCCCGCCGTGGGGGCGGCGCTGCGGGACCTGCACGACCACGTGTATGGCTGGTGAGGCCTCTGTTATACGATAATTAATATATTGTGAGAGAAATATAACAATCAATAAAAAAAGGTAATTATAAAAATAAAAATAAATAAATGTGGCACTCGGAGACTGCCGCGGTAAAGCTATTGCATAGCATTTTTTATCAACTTATGCAATTATAATTATTTATTTATTTTATTAATGCAGTATTTTTTTTCCTTGACTTTCTTCATTAATAAATGCACTTTGTTTATTCATATTTAAAACACTTTGTACACAAATTATACGAGTACAGATATTCACTGTTGTACATAGATGATAAATACCTATACACCTATATACTTTCTCACAAACAGCTGATTACGGTAGTTTTCCAATACAACCAATGCCACCTAAAGGCGGGTTGCTGAACTAAAGAGACAAGCGTGATATTTCAAAAAATCATTAAAAGTTCTGGTATTTATCGATAGATGGAAAAACTAAAAAGTATCCCCGCTGTGCCGGTCGGAGTGGGGGGTGTCAGATTTTTTCGTTACGGAATTTCTGGATTCGGTCCCCATGCTCAAGGCCCGCGATAGAAGCTATGCAATAGCTTAAAAAACCGACTGCGTAAAGAATGACCTCAAAAGATAGGAACAAATTACCGAAGGAACATAGTATTATGAAGTCGGAGGCATATGTTATAGTATGTGTTTGCTGTGAGTCTCACTGTTTGTATGTATATATCATGGTATCATAAATAGATACATGTTATAATTCATTTCCGCTAAATCCTCTTACGATTTATACATATAATCGTACTCGTATTGATACTACATGTATGTATATATTTGTTACTCTTTCACGGTGAAGCGACTGGACGGATTTGAATGAAATTTTACACCCAGACTTTAATCTGGAGTAACACATAGGCTCTTCTTAGACACTAGTGTGTATAATACGTAGTGAAATGTTAATGTCCCGGCAGTATGGAGGAGCTGGACGTGTGCCGGCTGGAGCGGGCGGCGTCGCTGTGCCCCGCGCTGCTGGCGGCGGGCGGCGGCGCGGCGCGCGTGTTGGCGCCGCCCGCCGCCGCCCGCCGCCCGCTCGCCGCGCACGCGCTGCGCGCCGACTGCATATTCGGTAACTTATGCGAATATACTCTATCAAACATGATGTCGATGGCGTCCCAACTTGTTGTTTACTTTTACGTTATTCCTGGTACTTCTGTTAAATCAGAGCGGTGACCGTGGTCAATAGGAGCAACCCGACAACTAGGCTTTTGGCCTGCCCCGATAGTCCACCCGTCGAGTCATCATGGTTGAATGTGAAAGTGATCCTGCAACATTCCATTAAAACTGGAAAGGTTTCAATAGGCTTTAGTTCATAGTACTGGTTTTACTAACTAGTATTATTTACTAACTTTTCACATAACCACCAGATAACATGCGTAAGAATGCATTTTCTTATATTAAAAAAAAAGTATAACTTTTCTTCTAATTAATTTTTAAGATTAATGCGTAGTTCAACAATAAATATCCTTCATCATATTCACCACAAGATAACTTTATAAATTTCACCAAATGTAAAACTCATTCATTCATCTACAACAGGTAACCTCAACTGCCCATTCGAAGACGAGAACGAGCTCATACAGACAGTCGTGAGCGATGCAGACAAGGAGCACGAGGAACTAACAAAAGAAGACCTTATGATATACGTACATCAGAGTCTATTCCGGTGTTTCTTCCTGCGCGCGATGCTCACCCGCAACTCGTGTGCGGACGAGGAGGGCGCAGAAGGCAGCGAGGGGGAAGGTGCGGGGGATGACGTCAGGAATGGAGAGGGGGAGGGCGCGGAGGGAGGTGGGCGCGTGGCGCTGCTGCAGGACGCGCTGTACCGCGACCAGTTCGCGCTCGTGCTGGAGGAGTTCGTGGTGCTCAATTCGCTGTGTGAGAGATATGCCTTTGTGAGTATTTGAATTCCTCTTAAATTAAAACTTTGATAAATAAAATAATTGGTTATTATCAGTCAATCTGCTTACATAAAATTAAACATAAATTTTTATTTCCATCAGTAATAGGCAATAGCATATCGAATGAACACTAATAAAAGGTAAAATGAAGTGCATACTTTCTACTAGCGGCTCACCCACGCTTCGCTCGGGTTTACCTCTAAGTAAACAAAATCGAACCTATTCTTCGGGAACCGTATATTTTTCCGGGATAAAAAGTAACCTATGTGTTATTCCAGACTATAACCTATTTCTGTGCCAAATTTCATCCAGATCTGTTCAGTCGTTCTGGCGTGAAAGAGTAACAAACATCCATACTCACAAACTTTCACATTTATAGTATTTATACAGATTTATCTCATTATAAATTAGCATGAAGGTAACTTATCTAAAAATCGTTTAAAAATAAAAATAAGATTTGTTTGTTTGTGCATCACATATTGTTAAAATTTAATGGTGAATTTCACATTTCATAGACACCATTTTGTGGATTAATAAGTTCTTATTTAACTAATTTGATATCTGATGTCATTTATATGTAATAACAACTACAATCATTTTCCGCAGTGGGAGCACTATGATATCATAAAGACAAGCAAGGAATGTATGGAGAAGCTCATTGAAGATATTTTGTCAGAAATTCCAACCGACATGAAGAACATGCTTCTATCACATTTGACTGAAGTGGCGGCCACGCGCGGCTACTACTGGGCATTTGCTAGAAGGTTCTTGGAGTTCAAAATGAACCAAATGGCCCAAAAACCATGTAATTCACAAAATGAAACTTTAGAAAGTCCCAAAAATAGTGAAAAAGCAGACGTGTCATCCAAATTAGAAGCTGACGAAGTTAAGGAAAGTACTGAATCGGATGTGCCGGAAACACAAAGTCCCGTAGATATAGACATGAGTAAATTAGAGGAAATTGTCACCGGGACCGGGTACTTCCATAGTTTACAAGTGAGGAAAATTGTTTTAATAATAATAATTTTAAATTGTTTGTTGTTGTGAGGTTGTATTGTTTTTAAGGTAAAATATATTTATATGTAAAAATTAATTTACTAATTAATGTGTTTTGTACATTGATACAATAGGCCACTTGAAGTGAAATAAGTACACAGTCAGTGTAACATTTCATAATCCTGTATGGTTTTACGTGCTTTGGTTACATACGTAGTCGTACCATACTATTAAAAATGTCTCGACAGACAAACTTAAATGACAATCGTAATCAACCTCGGGACTATTAAGTCTATTAACTGGCAATAAATATAAATATGTCGAGACATTAAGACACAGCACCATCTAGTTCCGTGGTAAGACATGAGTGGGGTCACTACAGACTCATGTCGTTCGAATATATCCAGGCGGAATTGAAGTGGTCCCCGGACACGCCGGCGCGCGGCGAGCGTGCCGAGCGCGCGGCGTCCGTGCTGCTGCTGCGCGGCGTGCTGGCGGCGCACGCGCGCGACGCGGCGCTGGTGCGCGCGCTGGAGGCCGACCTGCGCGCCGGCGCCTCCGCGCTCGACGCCGTGGTCAACGCGTACTACAGGCATAATTACGTTATGCTTTATGAGAGGTACGCCGCACGAGTATAATAGCTTTCGGAGCGATCACTATATGACTAACACCACACGTGTATATATATAGATTGTGTGGTAGTTGTTGTGCAGATGGACTGAGCGTTGACAAATAATGAGTTTGTGATTTATATTGAAAGATAGAGAAGACATTTTTATATGAGACATGAAACATGCTCGAACGCAAAAAGGATATTTTTAAGTATATCACGAAAGGTACTTGTAACATTCCATTGCTGTGTACAGTGGTCTCGCAATTATATTAACGCTATCTACAGTCAAACTTAGACTAATTTGAATTTTATATGTTTGATAAATACAGATTGTATCATAAATTAATCTGTAAAATATTATACTTCTATGATTACAATATTACAAACATTAGAAATTGACGAAGTGAAAATATGCAACTCGCAGGGATCTGAACAGCGCCCCGTGGAGCCAGGTGGTGAGCAACGCGTGCGTCGCGGACGCGCTGCGGCTGGCGGTGCGGCGGCGCGGGGCGGAGCTCCCGGCGCACGTGTGGGACTTCGCCACCATCTCGCTGTGCTCGCTGGTGGCCTCGCTGCGTGCCAGCGCGCCACTTTTATTCTCCACTAAGGTTACCTTTCCTACTAATATTACACTTGAAAATTTGTGTGGATGCTTGTTACTCTACCACGCTAGCACCACTGAATGGATTTTGATGAAGATTTACTGCTATATAACTTATTTATCAATGACGCATAAGCTATAATTTGTAAAGATATAGTATAATTAATTGAATTACGAATTTTGTTTACTAAAGGAAATAATATGGCATAATCACAAACAAAATTAAATTACTCTTGATTTCATTTTCTGGATTGTGTGTTATAATTAACTATAATTATAATAACTCAATTATCACTATAACTTGCATTAATTTGTTATTGGAAGTTATTAACGTTAAAATAAAACATAATATGCAAATGTGTTCCAAAGTGAACAACACAGTACATACGCTATACATGTACGAGGTCAGCGCGGTGAGAGAGGGGGGGTCGACGAGTCGAGTGGGAAGAGAGTATGAGAGATACGAGCGCGTGGCGACTGGCGAGGCGTTATCACGCCATTAGATGTTTCATATAAAAAAAAATTGGCAATGATCAAATAAAAAAAAAAACCAAAGTCTGTACTAATAGTTTAATAAAAATTACTTTAAAATAGAAACATTACATCTAAACTTAATTCTATGAAATAATAGTGATCGATATTAGAATCACATATTGAATATATACATATAACATACTGGATATATACATGTAACAAGCGGGTTCTCTATCGGCGACCAGGTGGCGCTGCTGGCGCGCGCCGTGCTGCAGCTGTTCCTGGCGGTGCGCGAGTTCGCGGGCGGCGTGCGCGCGCTGGCGGAGCGCCGCGCGCTGGCGCCGCACGTGCTGGCGCTGGCCGCCGAGTGGGACGACATCTTCGCGCCCGACCTCAACGCCAACCTGTGCGCTCTGCTGCTGCACGTGCTGGGTGAGTGCCGGCCCCGGCCCAGGCCCCGTGGGATATGTTAGCGTTATTATCACCTAGTCTTTTACACGTAGTATTGTACACGTGACTGATACTAATGTTTAATTAATTTTAAATGTTTTAATTTTTATTAATTGTTGCAACATTAGTCCTATTTCTAATATAGAAAATAAGTTAATACATAGATCTATTTTTTAAGCTATTGCATAGCTTCTATCGCGGGCCTTGAGCGTGGGGACCGAATCCAGAAATTCCGTAACGAAAAAACTTGACACCTCCCACTCCGACCGGCACAGCGGTGATACTTTTTAGTTTTTCCATCTATCGATAAATACCAGAACTTTTAATGACTTTTTGAATTATCACGCTTGTCTCTTTAGTTCAGCAACCCGCCTTTAGGTGGCATTGGTTGTATTGGAAAACTACCGTAATCAGCTGTTTGTGAGAAAGTATATAGGTGTATCGGTATTTATCATCTATGTACAACAGTGAATATCTGTACTCGTATAATTTGTGTACAAAGTGTTTTAAATATGAATAAACAAAGTGTATTTATTAATGAAGAAAGTCAAGGAAAAAAAATACTGCATTAATAAAATAAATAAATAATTATAATTGCATAAGTTGATAAAAAATGCTATGCAACAGCTTTACCGCGGCAGTCTCCGAGTGCCACATTTTTTTTAATTTCTGTGACGCTATATTAAGGCGGGAGTGGTTCGGTAATCCGTTCGCTTTTTTTTTGTATTCAGCCCTTTTTAACGTCCCATTGCTGGGCACGGGCCTCCCTTCAATATGAGAGGGATCAGGCCACGCTGGCCAAATGCGGGTCAGCGGACTTCACATGTTTTTCGAAAACTTGTTAGGTTCTCTCAGACATGCAGGTTTCCTGACGAAGTTTTCCTTCACAATCCGTTCGCTTTTAGTGGGTAGTAAATTTTCTGGCTGGTGAGTGGTGGCATAACCACCAAAATGAACTCGAGCAAATCGATTATAATTTATAACATAGCATAAGGGACCTCTCACGCTACTCTCTAAAATATGTGTATTATTAACAGTGTACGAATTTGTATTGAAGTTGAACCTCATTGAAATTCAACCTTTTTTTATGTTTTGGACTTTAAACGACAACAGCGACTTTTACGACAGCGAAATTCTTAAAAAATCTTCGAACACCTCAACAACGAACCTATAGAACTGACGACTTTGACCTAAGGACGTTAATATCGGAGCATGTAGAATACTACTAACGCCATCTATTGTTGAATTAACTAAACAAGTCGAACAAACACAGAGGAGGACGAGCGGCCGATGTCGATGTCGCGTACGTGCGTGGTGGGCGCGCTGCTGGCGGCGTGCGGCGCGCTGCAGGCGGGGCGGCTGGCGGCGCGGCTGGCGGCGGCGGCGGCGGCCGCGCTGCGCCGCGCGCCGCACCCCGCGCACGCCTACTTGGCGTATGCGGTGCTGGACGCCGTGGACAAGCCCCTCGTGCTGGACGATGGTCAGACACTATCTTACACATTCTATACACATTGTTTCTATTATGTATGTTACTTTCTTTTTGTTCAAGTCGAACCCAATCAAATCGAGAGAAAAAAGGATTTTTCTCATTGTGCTGTCATAACAATATTTGATATTTTAAATAAGACCTCGTAGAATAAAGTCTTTCGCAGTTTAATTTTGATTTTTGGTTTTCGACGATTCGAATTATTTACGAAGAACCATTTTGTCCCTGTGACTATGTTTGGTATAAAATATTTCATAAATCAGAAATCAATAATAAAAATTAGTAATATTTTAAATAAAAATATCGTAAATCTAAGAAAGTATATATATATATATTCTTTATTGCATATTAACAGAGTAACACAGATAATAAAGAGAACAATGTGGGCAAAGGTGGACTTATCTCTAGAAGAGATCTCTTCCAGCCAACCTAAGGAAGTGAGAAATAGTGTTATATGACGGGAATAAAAGTGTGCAATTGATTTAAGATAAAATTATAAATAATTATACAATTAAATAAGATAAAAAAAATACATATAATGATAAATATAAAAAAAACTTACATATTATACATACTATATACACATATACATACATATATACATACATATATATATATACATATTAAAGTATAAATATAATCGTATGCATTTGGAATACACAAAAATAGTAAATCAGATGATAAAATTAAGGACCAATTTGTGACAGAAGGTACTGTTTTAAATTTTTTTTAAAAGAAGTTATGGAGGGGCTTTTTTTGATGTATTTAGGGAGTTTGTTCCAGAGTAATGAGGCATATACTGAGAAAGAGTGCGAAAAAAAACGTGTCTTACTCTTTGGTATGTCGAGCATTGACATGACGCAAGACCGTCTGGAACGTGAGGGGATAGGGAGAAGTTGGATACGAGTATTATGTAGTAATATATTGAAATGATTGTTATAATTGTGCTTGTTGTGTTACTCGTTACAACAGCGGAGAAGCTCGCCGTGTGGAACGCGAGCGACGGCGCGGAGGGCGGGGAGGGCGGGGAGGGCGGGGAGGGGGGCGCGGCGCGCGACGAGGAGCTGTCGCTGGTGCAGCTGGAGGAGCCGCTGCGGCACCTGCACGGGCTGCTGGACGCGCTGCTGCACGACGTCGAGTGAGTCACGTCGCGTGGACTACTTGTATAGAACATCGCGTATTCATTTTGTGTAATCTTTTGTTAACATATAATATCGATGTGCGTCTTTAACTTACCCGTAACGCCATTTATTGACAAACTATGACAACTAAACGAATTGGACACTAATAAAGAATATAATGTATGGTTTAATATTTTTTGACTTGTCAAAATTAAATTAGACTTGTCAGAATTAAACTATACGATGTTGAGGAATAATTTATGCTAAGTAAGAGTAACCATCGCTCTCCACACAGTTAATTCGTATTACATGCCAATTAATAAAATTGATGAAAAAATGAAAAATGATTTATTAATAAAAAGAGTTTTTAAATACATTAAGTCCGTTTTTGTATAAACGTAAATTGTAAGAAGGTAAACAAAGGTGTGAATTCGTTCGTGTGTTTGTTCGCAGGGTGATGGTGGAGACGTGCGAGACGGCGCCGGGGTCGGGCGCGGCGCGCGCGGCGCTGGCGGCGCTGCTGGCGGCGGCGGCGCTGCTGCGGCGCGCCGGCCTCGCGCGCGGCGACCTGCACCACTGCTACGTGCGCCTCTTCCGGTACGCGCACACGCGCACTACCTGCCCTTTGTATTGCATATTCAATGAAATAGTAATACATACAGAGTCCTTCTTACTCATAATTTCATAACACAACGATGATGACAATTCGTATAAGAAATCAACGTAACATCTTAAATTGATTTACCTGAAAACGAGGATTATATAACACACGCTAACAAATCAAAAATTATGTGAGCAGCGATTCAATCGGGCGATAACATTATAGTTCTACAGTATCAAAATTATACAAGTGACGAGGATCGTTCGGTCCAAAGGTTGTTACCGAACACCTAAGCGATAATGCTGTGTGATATAAATACAAAGAAACACTCTATAACACATTTAGTGGTAGCTTGCGTCCCCTACAAGGATAGGTAGATATAAATGATCAACTATAAATTTTTGCTAAAATAATTTCAAACGCAATTGTTGTCAAACAAAAAATATTATTAATGAGGAACTTTAAAAGTTAAAGCGCTGTAGTGCCATCTCGCGGCAAGTTACGAGTACACGGTTCCCGGCTGTCACGTAATAGTATATATGGCAACCGGGAGTCGCGTCAGTGTGGGGTGTGCGCAGGGAGCGGCAGTACGCGGAGCTGGTGCTGCCGGGCGCGCTGCGGCTGCTGCCGGCGGCGGCGCTGCGCGAGCGCGTGCCGCCCGCGCTGCTGCCGCACTTCCGCGCGCCGCCCGCGCCCTCCGCGCTCGACGTTTACGGTCAGTGCTGGTTTATATGGGTTTTTCTACACTAACTTAACTATTATATAGAGGTAAAGTTTGTGAGTTTGTTTGTAATGGATAAATTAAAAATCCACTGAACCGATTTAGATAAGTATGAAGATAGTTTGAGACCCGGGGAAGGACATAGTATAGTTTGAATCCCGGAAATCATCGCTTGGGGATAAAAAGGGGGATGAAAGTTTGTATGGGAATTTCATAAGTTAAGAATATAAAACTCATCATACCTATGTATGTATATATAGTCTATTTCATATTAACCGTTAAGACGTACCGTAGTATGAAATATTACAACAATATAAAAGTCTTTACTAATGCTATAAATATTGAAATACATATATGTTTGTTGGTTGATTTATTTTTTACATTTCACATAAATAATTATTTTAATAATTTTGAGCGGTCATTATTAGTACTTAGTATTGATGAAATAATTCCTGTGGGATAAGTAGAAACGATAACGAGTCACTTTTGTCACGTGAATTTTGTCCGCAGAGCCGTGCGGCCACGCGGTGGTGGGCGCGCTGGCGGCGGGCGTGGCCACGGAGGCGCTGGGCGCGGGCGCGGGCGCGCGCGCGTGGGCCGCCGCGCTGGCGCCGCGCGCCGCCGCCGCGCTGCGCCGCCTCGTGCGCCGCGCCGTGGCGCCCGAGCTGCGCGCGCGCCAGCTGGCGCCGCTGCGCGCGCGCGCGCGCGAGCTGCCCGACACGCAGGTGGCGGTGCACGCGGCGCGCGGCGAGGCGCTGCTGACGCTGAGCGTGGAGGAGCACACGCAGACGCTGTGCGTGCAGTTCCACGACGAGCACCCGCTGGTGCCGCCGCGCGTCACGGCCGCCGCCGCGCCCGCGCCCACGCACGACACGCACTGGATCGTGCTCTACCTCGCGTATCAGGTGAGTGCTTCTAAACATATTTGTTCAATTATTTGTATTGAATGCTTGTTAATGTCCCACTGATGATCGCGACCTCTCCTCGATCCTCGACTCGAACATTATCGTTATCTGTGGATGGAGGTCTCTACATGCTTTCTTGGAACAAAGCTTCGTACTCAACGCGGTTTGCGGAAAGAGTTGACAGATAAAAATTATCACGTAACGAAAAAGGTTATAATGCTCTATTATTTACTAAGAGTATTTCATGTGACCTTATCACAAGTACCAGACGAGTTAACTGTTAAGGTCTAATCCCGCTGAGTTTCTTTCGCCAGTTTCATTCAGGTCTGACGCTTTTTCTTTTCGAACTGGTGGTAGACTCATGACATTCAGTGAAGGTTGTAACATTATAATGCTGAATAAAATATTTTGAATTTGTACTTCTCAGCAGAACTGCCCTTCGCAGCTGTGATAACTTTTTTTAAAGGTAACAATTGACAAATCATAAATTGTCGTAGAAGTGTTTATGAGTAAAGTATATTTCGATGACTACGGGCACGTGGCGCTGTTGCAGAACGGCAGCCTGCTGAACGCGGCGCGCATGTGGGTGTCGGCGGCGCGCGCGCGCGTGGCGGCGGCGCCGCAGTGCTACATCTGCTACTGCCGCCTGCTGCCGGCGCGCCGCGCCGCCGCCGTGCCCTGCCACCAGTGCCGCAACTCCTTCCACGCCCAGTGCCTGGTTAGTCACGGAAAACAACAAGCTTGTGTTGCTGATTTATGTATATATATATATATATATATATTATATTGCAATGTTGATTATTAAAGTGTATATTTCTTTTTATAAGAAAATTGATCTCACTAGAATTCTTTCAGCAGTTCTGTGGACTCCTTCTTTGAAGCATTCCTCCCGACCCGAACTGCTTGAAGAATTCTTGTTTTTTTTTATAAACACTACGCGTATTTCCAACCAACATATTGAAGAATAACAAAATAATTAATTGATTTTTTGGCTAATTTATTTTGTTGCTATACAACAATCGTGGTCACCAGTCGGACTTAATTTTATATATCTTGTTTAATTTAATATATAGTTATAAAAAGTTTATGCTAATTTAGTATTGAGTTTACACTGGCTGGCAATAGCTCTTTAATTTGTTGTAATGACACTTCAGTTAGAGAAAAGAAATAAAATGAGTTTGACAACATTCAACATACATTGTGGTATTTTATTTTAGTTAAAAAGTAATTAAGTTAACAGTACGTGCAAAATACATCTGGTGCCGAAACCCGGGATATAGTGTGAAAAACAATATAAAAAATTAAGTGAACAAATAAAAAAAACGAACATTTTAGAACTTTGATTTAAAAGTATTTGGTTCATATATAATTGACGTTTATTGTTGCATCTTCTCTAAGTAATAATTCATTGTTTGCGTTTGACTTTACGAACAATAGTAATTAGTAAAAATGGAAGGATTATTGAACAAACAAGACGCTATAGCTGAGCTAATTAATAAAAACTTTACTAATTACAAAAAATCACTCAAGGAAAGAGTGACGAAAGCATACATAGAAGTTAGAGCAGAGAATTTAGAAAAATCTTGGAACGAGTTTACGGATAATCATTTTCAATTAGTGGCTTCGGTAAAGTGGTCTGAGCGGACGATGCTAAAATATTTTAGCGAAGAGATGTATGATAGTACAGAAGAAATATATATCACATACAAAACTAAGCTAAAAGAAGATTTAGAAAGCCGAACCAAGCCCGCCCTTGAATACAATGTATCCTCAGCTACACCGGTATCATCTGTAACGGAAATCAAGCTCCCTAGAATTCAACTGCCTACATTCTCAGGTATCTATGAGGAATGGCAAACATTCTACGATATGTTTATATATCTTATCCATGAGAATCAGACACTAAGTGCAGTTCAGAAGCTTCATTACCTAAAGAGCAGCTTGTCGGGTGAACCTGAGGTTCTATTACGAGATTTATCTACTATTGGAAATAACTATGATGAGGCCTGGAACAAATTGATAAAAAGATACAATAATAAACGTTATAATGCAAATGAGATTCTGAAAGGCTTGTTTTCTCAAAAGAGTATTAACACAGAGTCTGCTTCAGCGATTAAACAAACACTCGATACAACAACTTCATGTATTAAATCACTAAAGAATTTAGGCATTAACACAGACTCTTGGGATGTACTTATCAATTATTTAGTGGTATCCAAACTTGACTACGAGTCCCGAAAACAGTGGGAGATTGAGGTTTGTCATTTTGAATTTGAAGATTTGCCTACATGGGAACAGTTAGTTAAGTTCTTAGAGATGAGATTCCGGACATTAGAAATGATGGATGGAGTAAAAACCACTGTAGTGGGATTAAGTATAGCATAGTATAAATATTAAGGACAGTATTGTGACGGAGGAGTAGAATAAAGAACCTTATCGGGAGCGGTTGTGTTTCATTACATCATCCCCGCTCCCCGCATCATTGCATGGCGACCCTGCCTTGCCGTGGCGTGGGCGAGTGTCGGGTGACCGGCGAATCTCGCAACGCAGCGGATTCCTGTGTGCCTCGGTGCCAGTTTTAGTACAGTTTAATTTTTATAACGTGAAGTGAATTAAATAAATCTTATATATTAAAGAAAAATAACTAACGTTTAACTAACAATGGGGAAATATTATTCTAAAAATGAAGATAAGGAGATATTGATTAACCAAAATGCAGTCGGTAGTAACGGTGCTGTACTCGCAGAAACAAATCTACAAACACATATGCTGACCAACAACATCCTAATTGCAGTGGTCTTGGTACTGTTCGTTGTTTTTTCAATATATTTTGGGTGTAAAGCATGGCGTAATAAGGAGAGAAAATGGATAGAAAAGAGGATGCAAACAGAATTTGTTAGAAGGATCCGTCAAAGGCTTTCCGGGAAGTTCAATGCTGCAAATGCTGCTGGGAGTGATGCTGTTTAATAAGGCAAAGCTGCTAGTGCTGGCTGGTGTTCGGCCGCGCACCTACTTTAGTGAAAGTGAAATGTGAAAAATAAGTGTAAAAAAGTGCATCAACCCCCCCAAAACCCCCACATCATTATTTTTTTTATTACTATCTCTTGTCCCTCTTCGTGCGTAAATATGAAAATTTATGAACTATAACATAATATGAACTTTATGAACTGTAGTATATAGTGTAACTTTATAATATATGAATTTTAACAACTATAATATTTAGTGTATGTATAGAGTTATGTATGGAAAAAGATTTAGAATTTATATTAAATAAGTTAATTGAAATTCAAATAGATTTAAGAAAGTTGGGCCCTACTAGAAGATTAAAATATAAAGGTAATGTTAATAATAAGATTTTAGAAGCTGAAAAAATTATTTTTAACATATAAAGATATTATTAATATTATTGCTAAGCAAGACATTAAAGTAGAGTTAAAAGATTATGTGTTCGAAGTATTAAGGGAACGTATTGAGTGCATATATGATAAAATATTGACATATAAATTTAATTATCAGGGTAGCACAATGGATAAATTCGATATTAAAACGGCAACCTCTTTGATCCCCGTAATGGATAATACGGAGGAAATTACTGAAATATTATTAACGGAATTGAGATGTACAATGAATATCTTGTAGATGTTACTCAGAAAAAATTACTCATCTCTTTTGTTTTAAAAACCAGGTTATCTAAGTCTGCTAAATTAAAGCTAAAGAGCGAATATGATGACGTGACGAGTTTAATACAAGACATTAGAAAGTTTTTACTAACAAAAAAATCTGCAAATTCGATACTAACACAATTAAATAATTTATCGCAAAATAACATGTCCATTCACGAATTCGGTGATAAATTGTCTGAGTTATTTGTAGGCCTCACTATTGCACAAAGCGACGGAAATCCGAAGTCTTGTGAGATATTGAGACCTATAAATGAAAAACTTGCAGTTAAAAGGTTTGCAGACGGATTACGCAATAGGAGACTGAGCACAATTATATCGGCACGAGACTACTCAAGCCTGAAGGACGCAGTACGTGCTGCTGAGGATGAGGAGCTGGGACAGCCTTCGTTGTCCAACAACATCTTCAACGCACAAAGGAGAGGTAACCAATTCCCATATTATAGGTCTTCACTAAGAGGTAGAGGTGGACAAATGACTTCTAGAGGTAATTTTTATTCAAATCGCGAATTCCGTCCTCAATTGCAACAGACGACGCTACGAAATTACAACAACTTCAACAATTATATGAAAGGTAAATACGTAAAAAATAATTATAATCGAGGATATAATAATACTCGATCGACGCGAGGTTATCGTGGTAATTTTGTGAGTTCGAGTCGTGTTCGAGGTAACACTAGTAGTGGTAATCACAATCAGCGAAATATTTGTACCGCACATGTCGAAACTACAAATGAGGATAAAACTACCGAACGGAATCAGTTTTTTCGGTCCTAAAAATTATATTTTAACTTGCGACGATAATGTAAAATATGTGTATTTAAATTTAGATAATCAAAAATGTTCATGGTTGCTAGACACAGGTGCTTCATTATCGGCAATTCGTAGTAACATCTTATCGGAACGTATACCGATACATAGAGACCCTATAGTTATAAACGGTATAGGTGGCAGGACATATTCAGATGGCTATGTTTATTTAACTCTACAGGCATCAGACGGTACTACTTATGAGCACAAGTTTTACTTGTTTAAGAACTTACCTTGTAAGTCAGATGGTATAATTGGTTTAGATTTTCTGAATAATTTTAATTCAATTATCAATTTAGAAAAAAATATATTAACTTTAACCAATGAAAAACAAAGTGAGATACCATTATATACTTCACCTAAACTATGTACTAAACATATTGCGATACCGGCACGGTGTGAAACTATTCATTATATAAAGTTAAATTCAGATGTGAAAGAAGACAGTGTGATTGTACAGAAAGAATTACAAGAAAACTTATTTTTGGCTGGTTTGATAGTAAAACCTAAAAATAACATAATACCTATCAGATTAATGAATATCAGTGATAAGGAAATAATTATTCCAATTTTTCAACCCGAGTTATTACCATTAAGAGAGTATAATGTTTGTTTCTTTGATAAGTGTAATTTGAACTCTACACGTGCAAAAACTTTATTACAATCTTTGAAACTTGATCACTTAGGTACAAGCGAACGAAGCAATATAGAAAGTATTTGTTCAAAGTATGCTGACATATTTCATTTACCCGGTGATAAGCTAACTACTAATAATTTATGTGAACAATCAATTAATTTGAAACAAAATATAAATCCAGTTTATGTAAAGCCATATAGGTTACCACATAGTTTAAAAACAGAAGTAGACAAACAAATCAAACAAATGTTAGATGACGACATCATAGAACCTTCACAAAGTGAATGGTCCAGTCCTATATTATTAGTACCTAAAAAATCAGATGATAAAGATAACAAAAGTGGAGATTAGTTATAGATTACCGAAAGTTAAATGAAGTTATACAGGATGATAAATTCCCATTACCAAATATTACCGAAATACTAGATTCACTATCAGGCGCAATTTATTATTCTCATTTAGACCTTAGCCAATCATATTATCAATGTTCTTTAAAGCCTGAATCCAGACCAATTACATCTTTCACAACTAGTACAGGTCAATATCAAATGAAACGTCTACCTATGGGACTAAAAATCAGTCCTAGTGCTT